TGGAAAGGCTAAATGGAACTAAACGTTAATTAGGTGGTAACACCTGTGACTACCATCCTATTTAACACCAAAATAACATTATCCATTACTCACGTCAGCACCAACATTCACCATTTGCCCAGCTTTTCTGAGAAAATACCCCTGTATTGGATCACTCTAACATGTAACTAACTGTAGTTGGCTCCCTCACGCACCTTTGGACAGTGGGGAGTAATATCTGCTGTACCAAGGTACTGAAGGTAAGAAATAAAATATTGTGTAATTTAAACTTATTTTTCAACAACATTTGGGATGAACAGGATGCTAGGTTAAGCATAAATACTGGCTTTCATCACTGAAACACAACAGAGCTGCACCACATCAGACCCATACTGGTGGGCTCCATGGACTCCCTGGAGTTTGCAGAACACTGACATAAGCAATGTCATCATTTACTGACTCTAATGGACATGCTCCAGGCAACTACACTGTCACCTGCTGTCTCACTACACTTCAAACATAAGATTGGAGTTGTGCAGCCTCCAGTGGTTTTCAGATTACTGCTCTAATGTAGGAATAATGCATTAACACAGGCAAAGAGGAGGAGAAGGAGACGTGGCCCTATGCTCTATAAAATTTTATCTTCATCAGTACACAACATCATCAGTGCACATTTTCATATCAGATCGTTTACACAAGTAAAACAAGCATTACTGCAATATAAAAATACCCCATAACAGTCTTAGGTATTAAGAGTAAAAGTACTCCTTATTTTGAAAAATGATCCCTGTGCTATAATATGTTATGTTATTGGATTATTTTAACTGATGTATTGATGTTTAAGTAGAATTTTACTGGTCTAGTTGCTCAGAGTGGCTGCTGTTGGATAGTTTAATATGTAACAGCGAATTGTATTTCATAAACTCATCTCATGTTTTGTATGTAAAATTGTAATATGTAAATATAGCTTTTAAATAAATGTAGTGTAGTAAAAGTTACAATAATACCATACAGTACAAATTATTTAACTTCCTACTTGAGTAAATGAACATGGTTACAATTCACCACCCCTGACATTTAGCATTGATATTTTGTATGCAAATTATTTAAACCGCCTATTGCACCCACCTCTGTATGTGTATGTCATACTACCTGAGCTTCCAACTCTAGTACCGTTAACTGAATCAATACAAATGTTTCTCAGCTCCCAGGAGGCCTCCTAGACCTGCCTCCTCCTTGGTATGAAATGACACTTTGATTGACCCCCGCTGCATTTCCCACAGGGCTGGGTTGATATGGTAACAATCTGACCGTTGAACTTTACCTTCTGCCAGACAGGTCAGCAGACTGGGGGCATAATTGAATTTCTCAGATTCACATTGACTGGCTGTGCGCTCTCGATCAATGCTGTTAACGGCCACAGTGGAGACACAGAGGTTGGACTTTTGTGTCTGGATCCCGACAACTTCACATGTCTGACACACAAACGCATATTTCAGCCACTTACATTACAAGCAGTGGCGGACTCGGGCTGTTTGGGGCAGGGGTGAAAAAAATAAATAAAAAAAACATTGCTGCATATTATATAAATTTCTGCCAATAGATACTGCTGCAACCCTACTATAAACTAACATGTCACAAAAATGGCACTATTTATCTCTGAAATATAGTGAAGAAGAGTACAACCATTTGTCTTTTAAATACTTCTCCTTCGCAGTCCCAGTCTTTGGGATTATATGCCATGACCACAGAGGTCACAGTTTAATGATCGTAGACTCAGTTTTTAGTGTACCCTGGTGAGCTTAATTTACCATTTTAGCATCAGCAATAACACAATGTAACTATGCAGAGACAGTGTCAAGGTAAATAAACCTTGAGCAAGGCACACAACCCATTTCTGTCATGTTGAATAATAAAATGTAAAAAAAAAAAATGCAGGATCACAACATTGTTGAACAGATGTTTAATCATCACGAATAGAATAGTGAGAAGAGGATATCACCCAGCATGTTGTCAGAGATACACCATAGAAATATCACACACACATACTAAGTTTGAAAAAGATTCAAGCAATAGATTATTTATGTCTACTGCCACTACACAAAGAAGATTCATCACCATGGTGAGTGATCAGTACCTCCCCTCCTCTCCTCTCCACACACTTCTCCCCTTGCACTTCATCATCTTTTAGACTGAATAATTGTGTTTTGCCACCGTCACTCTAATGCATATCTCTGCGATTATCCAGATGTGGGTGACACCATAATCCATATGCCTGTGACACCGAGTACAGATGGTTGTGTAATTACGAACACACGGTGGTGATCACCCTGCTTTGTAATCAGATTCATATTTCTTGTGGGTGCTCCGCAATGTTGTTTCCAGATTAATTTCCCCATCAGATGCCACTGGAGTCTCATTTAGAGTGGACTTCAGTGTCTGATAATGAGATACAGACAAGGGTATTTATTCAGCGCCAGATCTGGCTCATTGAGTGGTGACATATTGGCCTGGGAGACACTCCAATCGTATTTCCTCCTCAGTTCGATGGTGGCGATAAGGTTTCCACTGAGGGAATTTCTCTGTGTGAAGATATTGACTGGTTTTTACCACCAAAATACATCTGAATTTGGTGGTTTAAAGCTCATTGTCTGTATTACAGCCAGTTGTTGATGCCCCAGCCCATGAATAAGCCTGTCAATGCTTATACTATTGCAATGCCATTAATTTGTGTTTATCACTGTGAGTGTTAAACTTCAAATATGATGGGTATAATACAACTACTGGTACACAGGTTTGGAATCGCTCTCTAATACTTCTCCTGTCTCTAAAATGGCCAAGTCAATTTGATTTACATGGCCACAAATTTGATCAGTGGATCCCAAATCACAAATTTGCCTCAAGGGGTTTCATCTGAGTAACATGACACCTGCTATCATTAGACCCTCGATTTGAATAGGAACCCCAAAGTAACAGGAAAAAAGGAAGAAACCTCAGGCAGAAGAAGAGGAGGGATGATCCCTCTGCAGCTCAGATAGACTTCCAATATGCACAGAGTAAATAGTGCAAACGTATATGAAGAATATGGATCCAGGAAAATGTCAAGCAACTTCGGCCACACGACTCTTCTCTACCACCATCATATGTCACATGTATTTCACCAGTTACCTCCCCACACTGATGTACTGTTGACATGTCCAAGGTGTCTTTGTGCCCGCTGGATGGGATAACCACCGGCTAACCATAACCCTAAAAGGATTAAGTGGGTTAAGAGAATAAATGGTTTGAGCGTTGTTACAGAGGCTTGCACAACCTTCCAGGGATACGGTTCATGGTGCAAAAATTTGGCCTCAACATGAAGTGACACAAAAATGTCAATGAAACCTAATGGTGGAAGAAGTAGTCTGATTATTTACTTAAATAAAGGTAGTAAAACAATAATGTAAAAATGCTCGATTACAAGTAGAAATTCGGCATTCAAAATTGAAAAAATATATATATATGTAAATATATGTATCAGCAAAATATATTTAAAGTATTAAAAGTAGATTGGATATATTATTAGATCATTAATACTGACTCATCTGTGCTTAAGCAGAGGTTTGTAGCTGGTTGAGATGGAGCTTGTTTTAGTCATTTTACATTAAGTTAGGACCAGTGTTCCCACCAAGGGGTCAAGCCTCCTGTAAAAGGTCCCAAGGTTAATCTTGGTGGGATCGGGAAATGATTAATGGTGTATAGAAGGAAAAATTTGAAATATATTTTCATTTTCAAATAATGAAAAATTGGATTCTCTCTCATGAACAGTAAATTCATCTCACAGACATATGAAACATGTCAAGGGGCCCCAAGCTGGCACAGTTTTTTGGTATGGGGTCACAAGGTCTTTAACAATGCTTTGTATTCTCTAAACTACGGTGGCCCTGAGGTGCAAATCACAACAGCAAATCAGAAAACACAACACAAAAAGAGAAAACACAACGACAAATCAGAAAACACATAGATATGGACTATTGGAACCCCTGTTTCTACCTCTCTTAGGTATCCCACATTAACATGGACGTATTAATACAATATTTTCCTTATTTAGTGGTTTGAATTTTCAGATTTGGCAACTTGAACGCATGTTGTGTTTCCTGTTCAAAGGACGGACCAGTTCTTTTGTCCAATCAGCGACAAGGGTACCTACCTTTTCCAGTTTGGTTAATGTCGTTGTGTTTTCTGATTTGCCGTTGTGTTTTCTCTTTTTGTGTTGTGTTTTCTCTTTTTGTGTTGTGTTTTCTCTTTTTGTGTTGTGTTTTCTGATTTGCCGTTGTGATTTGCACCTCAGGACCACCGTACTAAACTCATCATATAGGCCTATATTTTATGAGAAACCATAATCTGAACTGTAACCAGTAATTACAGCTGTCACATGTTGTGTAGTCTAAAAATACAATATATATATTCCCATTGAAAATAGCGTGGTAGAAGTACAAAGTATCATGGAAATACTCAAATAAAGCAGTGCACAGTACTCGAGTAAATGTACTTAATTACCTACCACCACAGTGTGGAGTTCAAGCACAGGTTTATAGTAGAAAGTGTGCCCTCTGTTGGTGTGACAACGCACGGGCTCCATGTCGCACAAACTGCAGGCACAAACCGTGTTATATTTATATATTTTTATTTATCCCCACGGGACAATTCCCTTCGCATGTGTAGTTTTGTTGACTTGTGTACTCTCTCGCTTTTCTTCCGTCCTCTTCAGCTTATCGTAACGCGGCGGAGGCACGAGGCCACACAGCTGCAAAAAGCTCGAGCGCATCAGTGCAGCGCGGGTGAGTGATGGAAGGGGCTGCAGTTGTCATGGAAACGCCGGGGAAGGAGGGGAAGGAGGGGAGGAGGGAGGGAGGAGCGTTAGGAAGTGGGGCCAGTTTGTTTTGTTATTGAAGGTCACGTGGCAAGGTGAGGCTCCTCCCTCCTCCCTCCCTCCCCTCCTCCTCCTCCTCCTCCTCCTCCCTCCCTCCCTCCCCTCCTCACCAGTCACCACCGATTCAACCGTCTCGAGCTGCTGCTCCGGTCAGTTACTACAAAATGGCTGCAGAGGCTCCGACACCAGCGAGAACCTCCTGAACGCTTCATGGTAGGATTTATTAATCCCTATGGACGCTTTAGCCGCGACACATTTGCACCGTGTCGCTTTTTTCCTACTCGCGGAAATGTGCGTTAGAAGTTAAATGCAGGCAGCTCGGGGTGGGAATGAAAATGTTTTCAGCTCAGCCCACTTTGACATCAGTGTTTTCTTCGCTGCGAGTGCTTCTTTATCGCAGCTATCCGTGACATATGTGTCCTTATTGGTAGTCAGGGAGGTTGCAGACCTAAGCCCGGGTTTAATGTAGGGTTTTCTGTAACGGTGGCTCGGTGGTAACTTGGGACTAGTTGGCCTAGGGTGGCTTTTTTTCCTCAGTTCAAATGATTCAAGGGCACCCTGTGTTATTGCTCGTTGAGTTGTCGTTATTTGTAGCAGCTCTGCAGCCAGGCATCGGTTTGCATTGGTGTGTAGGAGAGCTAACATGGATGTTGTTGCAGCTCCCCCCCCAAAAAAAAAAAAATCATGCTCCATGCTGCAGAGAGAGAGAGAGAGAGAGAGGGGAGCTGCTGCCTGGCTCTAACATGCATCACCTGATTGGCAGTAAACGCATTAGCAAGCCCCGTTTTAATTACTGTTCTCATGTCCACACACGAACAGTTTGCTGCCTGTGCATCCTCATCCATGCAGCCATTCATTTAGCTATTCAAGTAGCTAGTAGTCTGGTCTGTTGGCCTTCACTTTTTTTAAATAGAAATGTTTTGAAGTGGCTACTTTTTTATGCAGCAAATAAAAAACGCTGAGATTGGAGACATAACCTTGGGCTGGTTGTTGTTGCCAGACTACTCAATAATTTATAAACTTTTATCTGGAAATCTACCATGTCTGTGAATGGTTTGAGCATTAGTGTTGTTGTCAACTTTGAGACGGATGCATCAGTGATTGCTTCCTGTATCCCTTTCACCATAGAGACGACAACCATTGCCCGTCTCTCGCTGCAGCTTGATATCCTGCAGAGTGACACACAGTCCTAAAGGAGATGGCAGTGTGTACAGACTGGGAATGCCAGCAGCCTGATGCATGTAGAGGGCAGGCTGACGTAAGCTTTGAGGCCCGCTGGTTTTACTAATGTGTTAGTCCCTAATTTGGGCCTGGGTCTGGCAAGGGATGAAGAGATGGTGTTGGAAAAGGGGGAAGAGGGGGTGATGAGGGGTCTTTTCTGTCCCTGCCGGGTCAGGGGCCCCCTAGTCAGCACCCAAAGCCTCTGAAAGAGGCAGTGTGTATTCACAGAGAGGCGCCAAAGGGGGCTTGATAACAAAAACAGGCCGCTAAATACTGTGATTACTATAAGGCTTAGGTCATAGCCTCACTTTCAGCTCAAAACTCTCGATGGCTTTTTGCTTAGCGCTGGACTAGAGGGCTGAGGGGCATTTTGCCAGGTTGTGTCATTTAGTTTGGCGGGTTGTTTGGTGTCAGTGATCAGACGCTTAGCCGGAGTCCTCGGTGAAAATGATGAGCTTGCATTCTGTGATCAAAAAAAAAAAAAAAGCTAGTTTATTGCTGTCAAAGAAATAAGTTTCTGTTTTGAAGTTTTCTATTTACACTCATCCTGTGTTGGTTATTGAGGGCTGGTAGTTGCTATATTGTTGCACAGATTACTTCTTTATATCATATTCAGTATTAAAATAAATGCTAATTCCTGGTAACGGGGTGTCTGATTCTTGGCAGTATTTTTCTGTAGATAAAGCATTTTCCTAATTGTCCTTTTATAGAAATAAAATCAGCAGCACACCATCAGTCCTACTGTTGCTCAGAGCTATGTGAGCGCCGCCTTACACACAGGCTTTTACTTAACACTTTATTTTCTTTAATTTTTTTCAATATATAAAGACAAATGTGGAAACAGTGAGAAAGCTACGTGATTGGAGTTTAATAAGACATTTATTAGGGATGTTCTTTGATCTGTCGGACCAATAAATTGTACAACCGGGCTCGTGAAAGTGTTCCCATTACTTTTGTAGCTGACAACTGACATTGGGACTGGAGGCAGTGCTTTTGGAGTGTGTCCATAAGTTATTTTAGGGCCAGTTCAGAGTGCCAGGAGTGTGCAGCATAAGTTTCTCTCTTCCTTGTCGTCAGGCCGAGTCAGAAAGCATTAACATGACCACACTGAGAATAGCCCCAAGTACTTTAGAGAGTGCAATCCTCTTTGCAGAGCGCAAGGACTTTGTCGGTGCTTACCCTGCAAGTTTTTAAACCCTCACACAAATTGAAAGGTAGCACCGACGAACTGCTTTTGCTCTTTATAATGTTCTTTTTGTTTTGTTTTCGTGGTGTCTTTGTGGATGTGCCTTTTTTCTGAAAACCTGCTGATCATTGTGGCATATCAAAATATTTTTCAGATCGTTGTAAAAAAGGCTGTGTTACCCTAGAGTGCGATTGCGCAGAAGAGAAGGGGGTGGGGGGGCTGGCACATTCTGCCATAGCAGTGGCGGCGGCTGCTGCTGTGGTTGCTAGCGAGCGTTCTCCCAAGGGCTCGCCGTGCTCTTGTTTGGCTTGCAGCGATGGCATTCCTGGCTCTGTGCCCAGCGACTGCCGTCTAGCACCCCTTCCCCCATCTCTCACACATACACACAAACCAGCCCCATCAATCGTAGCCCCCTCATCTTCATTGCTCCAATGTGGGGCAGCCAGGCATTTACATATCCACAATTCACCTTGCACTCATTGACTCTCCTTCCTCTCCATCGCCACTCAATTTTCTACAGATTTTACACCTGCTTTTGTTAAGCCGTCCTTGGTCTCTCCCTGGTCTGACTGTGTTGTTTTTTTTTTTACTCCCTTTGGCCTTCCTTTGTCAGCAGAGTGAGTGTCTGGTTTTATAAGGGACACCAAGCTCTAATCCTGTTGTTCTGACAGGACGGTGTAATTCCACAACAGAGCTGAGCTCATTGACCCACGTCCTTCATATCGACACGAGCTATGCTTCCGCGCCACAAACAGCTGCTCATGATGTAGCTCAACCCACTACTACAAGTAAACATCAAATCAAAACTGCTTTGTTTGAGCCTCCTCTTGAGTGATTTTTATTTATTAACAGGACTTTATGTTGTCTTTATTTTCAAACGTTATCAGTAATATATATGATAAGGCTGGATCTTTTCAATAGTGGGTTAAAGTTTTGTCTTATACCTGTTCACATAGTGCCGCAGCATCCAAATGGGCAGGAGGTACCATTACTGCATCCTCCCCATCCCACCATCAGTCATCACTCGAGTCCAAGAAAAGCACATCTGTCCGAGCAGGGGCAGATGTTTAGAAATTAAATGGCAGTTCTCATTGGGAGAGACTCTCTCTGTCCTGCTCGGGGACCAAATGTTTCTTAAACTGAAATCATTTTGACACTTTGCTCGGCACTCACTCTCTTCATCCGGGTTGGAGGCCGACAGCAGCTCACATTAACTGGAGCATCTCTCTTATCCTCTGATCCTACATGACACAAGCCCCACTGATGCCTTTGAAAGGAGCAGCACCAGCTATATTTAGCATGGCAGCTGCACATGCAGGTTCCATATCCAGCCTCTTGGAGTTAAAAATAAGTGTTAATGATGTGAATTTGTAGATAGGTGTATGGAGGCGGTATGTTTTTGTGTTGAAATTAATTCAAAGAACCTAAAGGCTCTTGCCTCTATCCGGCCGCGAGTCTTGCAGAAGTGACTGAATTCAGTTTTCAGCTCATGCAAACATTGAAGGCACACTGACCTGTGCTATCCAGGAGGCTCAGTGTGTGAGTGAATGATAGTATGAGTAATATATTGCTAATCTGTTGCTGTCGATACGAAAAAAAGTTTATATAAAAAACAAATAAAAGTAAGATTACATTCAAATCCGAGTGAAATGTTTGTTAAACTTTCAACTGTGCTGTAATAAATAGTCACAGGTTTCTATTTGCTTTTCAGTTTGGCTCATTGGTTTCTTTGCCTATTTCTATCTGTTAGCAGTGGCAGATGACTCACAATGATTTTTATGATCATTTTGCATCAAAATGGGATTAATGGGATTTGTTGTTGAATTTAACTCCAATCTATTACAACCATGGTTGGTGCTATTTTGACACCAACTAAATGACATCTAAAAATATATAATATCTAAAAATATATAATATCTTAAAACATTTGTTGCCAGAGCTGGGCACAGTTGATCAACAGATGCCGTAGTTGGGTTTCTGGGTTGATTCCAGTTGCCTATTTATTTATGTAGTTATTATTGTCTTTCTTTCATTGTGTGAGTTAGGTGTTACTGATCCATTGGCCATTTGAAATAATGCAAAGATTTTCTGCTAACAACGTATCATAGTGTACACAGAAAGCAGAATGATCAGTGCAGTTTTATTCATGACTACATAAGTTTTTGCTCATGTGACAGCATTGTTTAAAGAACAGATGAAGAAATACTGTGACGTCTGATCTTTGCAGTAAGGCTTCCCCTTGGTGACCCTTTTGTCACCTGTGTGTTAGCGGCTCAGTCTGAGAGCAGAGGTCACCGTGGCCTCTGGAAGACGGAGGCAGCAGCTGCTGTCAAGTTCACAAAGCATCACAGATTGAGAAGAGAGGTCTACACTTTCAGACAGGTTGCAAATGTTGTGACCTAAACAGAAGGCACATTAATGCGTATTCTTATATACCTGACATATTCACGTATTTACAAGGACTGAGGAAACTGCACTGCACAGAACACATGTTGAGTACTGTAATTGTTTCAACCAGTCACAAATTTAATCCTTTTTATCCCATTCATACTACCTCCTTTCAGATATTTAGAAAACTATAGGGAATTGCTGTATCTGACCTTAAAACTCAGTTGACAGGAGTTTCTTGATCATCTTGATCAGGACCAATTTTTAGGAATCTCTAAAAAAAAAAAAAAAAAAAAAAGACAGCTGAAGGTTTTCAGTCAGGACAGGGAGAAGGGACATAGTTTTCTTTTTTGTTGGTTTGTTTGTTATTTGGACGATTCAAACCCCTCTCTTGAACCCACGCTTTGATGACATGCTCCAAGCCCTGACTCAGTTGCTTAACTGTATGCTCAGATTTGTGCTTTAGTTTTTGAGGCTTGTCAAAGTTCATCTTTCTTCTTGTTTTTCCAATTCCATCATTGAACCTCCGCTACCGATTTCAACACAGTGCTTAAGGGCGCTGTCTGTCTCCACCTGACTGCTCACCAGGGCCTCGGGGAGCGCTTGTTGCCAGGCAATGGCACACACCGCTGTCGCCTGCAGCAGCATAGGCATGGAGGAGAAAAAGCTGGTTTTATGTACAATATCATATTTAAGGTTCAAGGGACTTAATTCCAATTTGCGTATTTTTCCAGGCAGGTTCCTATTCTTTCAGTCCTTAAAAAACCCAGCTTCTAGCTTTTATTTATTTGTTTTTCTCTGTAGAGGATTAGGATAGATACAGAGTAGCTCTCAGCTGGATGCACTTGCACATGAAACAATGGAGCATTGTCAGGTGGTTTTCAGCTAGAGTGTGTCTGTTGTGAGCACTTTTCCTCTCAGGACTGGGTAGAGGAGGTGTAGGCTATGACCAGGTAGGTGTAGAGACTTGAAAAGATGAAAGGTGTGTATAAAGTAATCTACGACCCAGAATACTGGCATGTCACGTTTTTCTGTGGTCTGCTGTGTCGGGATCTGTTGCCCTGGCTGGGTGTGTAGACTAAAACAAACCGGGGGCCTCATCTTGTTGGCCCCCTTTCTATACTAGACCTGAGAGGCCTCCCTAATGGTTTCCAGAGCCAACCCCAAAGACCACCAGACTGAAACACACATGCACAGTTCAAAACACCACAGTTCGTCAAGAAACATGCTGCTTAAGAGTGAAGTGCAAAACAAACCCACATTCTTCTGTCTGGTGGTTGTGTTGCTACGAAGCATGTGATCTTGTATGTTAAAACGGCAGCCACTGACACATTAACAACTGAGAGCAACAAATGAACAATGCAGCTAATTGAATGCAAAGAAATTACTTTTGCTGGTGTTGAGGCACAGAACCTTTCTCCTCAGTGGGTGCGTGGGATAAATCCATGTCTCTCTCTCTCTCTCTCTTTTTTTATTTAAGCTGTGAGAAGAAGCAAAAAAAACACGAGAAGAGAACCATTTGATGGAAGATAAGAAAAAGAAAAAGCAAGAAGAGAAGAAAAAGAAAGACGCTGCTCAGAAAAAGGTAAGCTTGCGGCGAGCCCTCTCGTTTGACACACACATACACTCATCTTTAGCTTTAATTGCCTCAGCCTGCCGTTTAATCAAAACCAATATGGTCAGATACTGTAAGCCCCGGTTTAATGTTGGTCTCCCAGCAATGAAAAGAAACGCTGCTCGAGACAGTCCCTACTTCCACTTCCTTTTTTTTCAGCCAATCATAGACAAAGCCGCTGTAACGCCGTTTGTACTATTTTAAATGTTACGTGGTGCACAGCCAAGCGCGACTCTCCAGTATGCTCAGGTGTTTCTGCCGCAGTTACATTACATCGATCACATGCACACTGAGCACATGCGTTTCGTCACGTGTGTTTCCTCAGAAGCATTAACCCAGAACTTTATGTAGTTGTCATCCTCGTCTTTATCTCCCCCCCCCTCCCCTTTCCTTGAGTGGGTCATCTGTTTTCAGTGTTAGCCTGCTGTTCTCTGTAATACATTTTATGTATCCCTGACCCTCCTCGTCAGTACTGGTGAAAGTAAGTCTGTGTGTTTCTTAATGTATGAGAGGAGTATTTGCGTTATCTCTTTTACTGCCTCTCCAGCTATAAGCCCAGTGAACCCTTTCACCCTGTCGAGCAGTAGGAATTGTGAACCTCTTAGCATTTCAATAGATGAGCAAAACCAGCCCCTGAACATTTTGTTCCAATTGCCCTGGCTAGTTGCTCCAGCAGTGTCGTGCAGCTGGCGAGCCAGCCAATGCGACTCAGATGTTGATGCTGCAGTAACATTTAGGCCCACAATTTTCACTTATATGTGGAAAATATGCTTATTGCTTCATTATTAAGTTATTTAAGGTCTTATTTCTATTGCTAATAAATTTTTTTCTCCCCCTTTTCAGGCCACAGAACAGATAACCAAAGGTGAGTTGCGGCTACTTGTACTTGTTTATTCAGTGTATTCTGCCTGTCATGTAAAATGGGTACCTCAAAGTCAATTTCTTTAGTTTTTTTTTTTTTTTTTTGCCTGCAATGCTGAGTCTTCCTTTGCTTTTTTGTGTTACAACATGCTACATATGCAATAACACAAAATTTCTCAGTGCAGGCACAATCATCAGCCATGAACCTTGCTATGAGCTCGTGTTTTCAAACAGTAGGGAGACTTATTGTGTGGGTGTGTTAAATTGCGTGTCCTCATAATTAGATGGATAACTCATGTGCAAGATTGCTTTTTTGCCTCAGAGCCTCAATTTGCCCTCTGTTCGTTGCTGTGCAATTTGGATATGAAGCATTAGCTTTTATTATAGTAAAACATCTTTAACTGAAAACATTAGCAGCAGCCAGGTGGTCCATACTACCTGAGCCAAAATGGAGGCCAGGTGCCCATATAAGACTAATAAGGAGCATTGGGATGGTGCAGCTGCTCCTCGGGCCTCCCCATGGGCTCCTCAGGCATACCTAGGAGGGTGAAGGTGAGGAGAACTCTCAGAAGAGGAGAAAACAGAGCATAAGAACCACAAAACAAAAAGAGAGAGGAATAAAGTTGACTGAAAGGTGACTTCTGTAGGGAAGAGTGTGCTTAACTTGCACGTTTTGAACTCCTCTGTGGCAGCTAACAGACCCACTCTTCACTTTGTCTCCCCAAGCCAATGTTCTTAATGACCAGAGAGAGTAGGCAGTCAGTTAGCCCGGGAGCAGATCTGCTGGTCGAGATGAGCAGGCAGATGGGAGAGGGACTTAATGTCTCGCAAGGGATGGTCAGGGCAAAATCTGATTAGAACTTCTGGCAGACTTTGGCAGCGTGGCCTTAATGGCAGCAAGAGAATGCGCACCTAATTACAGTGTTAGTGTCTTTGTGGTTTTGTGCCCAAAGCTCTGTTCAGACAAATGTGTTGTGTGCGAGTTTGGTGGCTAATTTCATTTCAGTCAGTAAAAAGGAGTTAACTGACGTGTGTGTGCGTGTGCGTGTGCGTGTGCGCGTGCGCGTGCGCTCCTCTTGTCGGTGCATACAAATGTGAACTCTCTATTGTCGAGGGTCAGTGACTTGACCTCACACTCTCTCCCTGAAGGATGAGTTAATGAGACTGTAATGTCACAGAGGTGCCCCCTCCCGCCCCTTATTCCTCTTTTCTGAGTCACCCTCAGACCCTCACAGTTTGCTGCGCTAATGAATGTGATCTGGGTTAGCTGTGTTAGTATTCTCTTTGTCTCTTATCTACTTTGTGTTGTTTCACAGCATCCACAAATTGACCTATATACAATGCTTTTCTCATCATCTTCAAACTAGGCTGTGATGTGCACAATTATTTTCTTGGCTGCTGCTCATAACAGCAACATGCCATGACCTCATTTTACTGTGATCTTTACCCCTTTAAATGTCACGATGGACTTTTTAGCACATTATACATATTTGTGCACTCCAACGTGCACGTATCCATCGTCTTAGGCCATGTGACACTGAGGTCACTTTACTCTAGCACTGTTCAATTTATACCTGAGGGTTATTCATAGGACCTTTCCAACCAATCAATAATTAAGGTGATTTAATTGGGGGAAAATGTCAGTGTTATTGTTTCACTACAGATACATTGCAGTCAAAAATGCAGTGGGTTCTCTTAAAATCTCATTTTAATTTTTAAAAGAAATCTAAATATTGTGATGCTAGAGAGGTTTTTATGACTGTAGGCTAATAGCTGATTCACCATAAAAAAGACCATAAATAAATTTACTTTTTTATTTTTGGCATAATGAGTGATTCATTGACTAATCCACTAAGAGAGGCAGATTGTCTCTGAAACTAATGTAGGGTACACTGGGAACTAATTAAAAGAGAACAGTGCTAGCGCCGAGCCAGAATAAACAGGCATCCATACACAGGAGATCTCCGGGAAGACCCCGAGCACCATAGTAACACTACACCACCTCCTGTCTGGTCTAGCAGAGAGGCCCACCCTGGGACCAGCAGGAGGGAAAAGGAGGCAGAAGAAGGTGGGCTGTAAGGAAAGAGATGGGATGAATTGTTATGGTTATGTGCAAAGTGCAGGGAGGCAGCAGCAAAAACACAGTGCCTTTGGTTGATATGAGAGGGCTGGGGGGGAAGCATGTGAGAGAAAAGAAACAGACGGAGCCATGTGAAACTGTGAGAATGCACTGCAGTTTCCTGTTTGCCGGCACAGCTGAGGGGGCCCTTTGTAGGATACTACTCTACTGGCTCACTTCTCTGACACACACTCTCACACTCTCTCTCTCTCTCTCTCTCTCTCTCTCTCTCTCTCTACCAGTCCCCTTATGTGACGGGGAAACACCAGCAGCATATGTACATTGTGTGCTTTTGCAAACACAAACATGTTATTTATTTTTACTCATTAGTTTTACATTGCTACTGAGAAATACTGCCTGACTGAGAATGTTTTGAATTTGTTTTGAAATTCACACCTACCCTGATTAGGTAGTTGTTAAAACAATCTCCAGTGCGTTTGCTTGTTTATTACTGTTTGTTTGGGCAAATCTGAAGATGTCTGTAGACTAGACTAGGACTAGGCAACGAATCTGAATCGGCCTGTGCTTCTCTATAAGAAATGTACATATTCCTGCAAACAAGACACGTAAAATGTGTGAAAAGAAGTAACTTAAGAAACGTAGTGACAGCTCAGTCAATCAGCCCTCTTTTAATAGTACCAAAAGTGCCTCTTTCTTTGCCTTTTTTCTTCTTCTTCCTACCAGAATTTGATTTTCCCCTGTGGGTCCACGTAGCGCTGATGTTGCAGGTTAGCCAAAACTTCACAATCAGTAAGTCACCTGTCAGTCCGTATACAGTGCTTGGTTTGTAGTTGCCAATCTAAACAACCAACTTCGCCAGAACTAAAAGTAAAAAATACGTAATTATTTTCTCTTGGTCTAAGCAAAAGGAATTTAACTACACAGGTGTAAAAGCATCCTAAAATATACACATGATGGTATCCTCATGTAACATGTCTACTGATGCATAAATATTTAAAACATTTAAAACTCACACTCAAATAAAGGTTGATAGCATTCATGTGGCTTTTGTTCTCTCCTCACTCAGAAATCAGTGGTTCAAAGATGTGTCACCATTCTTCATGTGAAGGCCCTTTGGCATTTTTCCGTGCCGAATAGTTTACTACCTTGAAGTATTTGTTATCCTCGGTTCACTTCTTCTGCTAACTCTCGTCTGTAGTAGAGATGCTGTTTGTCTTCATTGTCTCAATATATAAGTCAACGTCTCAGGAGAGCCATTCTTTAAGAGGTATAAGTATTGGCCCCGTGATAGCTACCTCAGTATCAGGCCTTCTGCCATCAGCAAGCTGCACTAGAGTTAATTTATAAGGGTTAATGAGCTATTGTGTTTATGTTCATGCATTTTTATTTCTATCAAAGATAGGGCACAACATACATACACATTAAGGTGCACATTTACATAGTGCAATAAAAGATAACATTATTATAAAGTAGTGTCGCGGCAGTAATTTCATAACAGATTAATTTGCCGTTTCACATTCGCTTAATTACGCCCAGCGCTTTGTGTTGGAGAGTCATAAATTGCGGTGTGATCAGGGGGGAATTTATACTAGTGTGCCTCTTGTCATCGTCACCGCCTCTTCTACATGTCTTATCCCAGAGAGCACGGCTTAAATTGATGCAGCAGCGGTGATGATAAACCACATTATAAAGAGCAACAGAGGTAACTGGCTGTATTCTGCTGTTGTGGAGTGTTAGAGTCTAAATCGTGCATACGGGCTAATTGTCATTAAATTAATTGTCAGTTCAGTTATTTAAGCTTTCTGGTGGACTTGGTTTTGAAATAAAGTATTTTAATGGCAAACTGAGTAAAAAAAAAAAACTGCTTTAAAGGCCTGAACATGGAGGATAGGAGGTTATGTAAATTGTATGTTCATATAACTTTAATTGGTTGTAAATTAAAGGTTGTTCAGCATATCTGGAACTGTGATGCAGAGGGATGCTGTATTTGATGATGACAGAGAGAAGTTACGTTGCACAGGGCAAATCTGTGGTTTGACAAAAATGGTCCAAAAATATATTTTGGGAAATTGCTAATTTTTCATCCCTTTTTAATGTGGCAAAAGGTGGAAGAGATCATTAGAATTTGCTAAAATATTTAACCATTAGGGTTTCTCATATGATGTGTGGCATTTATCCTAATATTGCAGCCTCTTCTAATGTCTGTATGAAGCTAATATTGCAGTCTCAATCAGTTTTCAATGAATCGTGTTGGCCCGGCGTGTGCCGCCCAGGTCAGGAGGACAGGACGTCCCACTCTCTTTCACACATCACTTCCTCTAAATCATAACAGACAGTGGAATCTGGTCTGCCTGCAGCTGTTGGCACAAAGTCCAGGGACAGTGGAGTGAGTGCAGAGAGGCTGTCTGTCTCTGTCCTCCACCTGTCTTCTGAGAGCAGTGAGCATACAGCCAACCCTCCTCTAATCTGTCATCCAGCTCTTATGGTGACACTGAGAATACACAGACGAGAGTGGCTGTTGCCGACGAGAGTAACTGGTGTTGACTTGGAGCATAGTAGACCACTCAGGTGTGTGCTTGTGTTGCACCATTCAGATATGTAATTGCCATTTGATAAATGCTATGACCTATATAGCCTTGTGTTTTTTGCACTGTGCTGTCAGACATTAAGTGCTTTTAAATCGCATTTTTGTCTGTGTTGAATGCGATGCAGCGAGGGAGGATTTTTCCCTCTTAAATACAGTGTCATATTTATTCACTTCTAATTAAGCCCTTTAATCTTCTCTCTTGTGAGGCTCGCTGCTCACATTTTAAAGCCCACAGGAGGAAAGAGATGGAGAACCCTAAAGACATGCCTCCCTTCCTTGCTCATGACTCGTTGATACTCCTTCTGCTGCCTCCTCTTTAATAGACCTCCGATAAGGATCTAGTAATTTCCATGTTTCCTTTTTTACTTCAATTAGAGTAGTGTACTGTGACACTCTGGCAGCAACATCAGATATACGATACACTTGAAATGCCATGCACGTAAAAGAGATGGCATGCATCATGGAGAATTTGTAAAACTCGGATACGCATGGTCACCTTGTATGGGTTTGCATTCAGTACAGGTAACTAAATCCGCACCCTGAAGACTCCTCCAGCTTTTATTTATTTGTTGAACTTTAGACTTTCGCACTGTTTTTATACAGAATTTGTGGCCGCGCTGCCACTTTATGACCATTAAACAGAAGACCATGTCTGATGGTTGGCAGTTGATGAAGCCAGTAGACTTGCCTGTTAGAGAGGAGATATGCATCCTTCTGGACGTTGAGCAGTGTAACAGGATGTTCTTTAGGTAGTTTGTAAAAAGCTTGACTCATGCCTCTACTTCGCCGATTAAAGGCTCAGCTATGGAAAACTTGTAATCACGCATAGACTGAACCTTTCCATGCATATCTCTGTACATTCCACCTGAGAGCAAGAACAAGATCCACTTCGATGAATGGAGAGCAGAGTCAGCATTGTGCTATTCTTAAACCTCAAGGTGGAAGTGCACTAATGATCCATCTCAATGATCTCCCAAGAACTTTTACTCAGATCTCGATTGAAACTGTGCCAGTATTAGTTGTTTAAATGGGATGCACTTTGCACAATATTACATTTCCCCAGTAAGAGGAAATGCATCCTGACTTGAAGTTCATATGTTGTTTAGAAAAACCCCTGGCTAAGCAGGGTATTCTGTTATTGTTGTTTATAAGCTATGAGGAGGCTTGCTTTCAGTTTATTATCAGTCACCACTGCTGATATTTGAAGCGCAATCAGGAGTGTGTTATATTCAATTGTTGCTGTAGGACTGACCTAACTGAACTAACTGTTAGAGGTATTTTAAGTGGTACTTGCATGAGCCAGTCTACTTATAAGGTTCTCCTGTGGGCGCTGAGCAGTTGGACCGCCACATTAAGAAAGGATCCTTTTATCTTCAAGGTCATGCGGCTTGTTTTTCTGTTTTCACCTGAAAGGGAGACAGAAGGGGAGCATCAGCGCTCTCCACCCTCTCCTTCTCTTCCACCTCATCTTCAGCTCTCTGACATCTTCTTAGACAACCTCCCCCCAACCTCCAGGTCTTAAACAGTCTTTTAGAAAATTAAGAGCCCTTTTTAAGTGTAAAATGGGGTGTCTTCCTCTGCGTAAAGCGCACACAGCCCCAAGGCCACGGTTTGATGTGCATCTTTGATGAACTGGGAATTCTCCTGTGTACCCTCACAGCTGAGGACGGGGTTTTTGCAAATAGGCTGTCAGAGCAAGTGGCTCTGATCTCTTTTTATTACTCTATTTAACTTTTTTTCCCCTGTAAAGCTCTGCCTTGTGAGCCTCGTGCTTAATAAGCCACACCTCGTTGATGCCAGAGGTTTGTTTGTTTTTGTCCCCTGATCCCCCTCCGAAGCCAGATTCAATCTGTGATTTAAATAATTGTAATTATCAGACTGTTTTGCTTTAATGCATCAGTCACTTTGATGTTACGGAATTGAAAAGCAGAATCCAGCACAGTGTGGTACACTATAGGCAAATGGTGTTCTAATTGTAAGAGGATTTAGACGCGAGCTGGTTTCAGGCAGTGAGACTCGAGCTCGCAGTGGAGTGCGCAAGGGGGTGGAGACTGTCTTACACACACACCATTCTCTTCATCACTTATCCTCCCCGCTCTACCTCCTTCCCTTCCTCCTGTACGTCAGTTCTCTCTTTCGCTCTCTCTCTCTCTCCTGTTCCCTCCCTCTCCATTCTTGTCTCTTCCCTCTGATTGGCCAGCCGAGCAGCCAGCCAGCTTCCCCCTTCCCCCAGCTTCCAGAAAAATCTACGTCACACACCAGAGAGTCCCAACTGTATAACGATTGCCTTCATAACCATTATTATACACTGTGGCACAACCACAAAGTCCTCTGTTTTTAAAAGGAAGTCACCTCTTAAAATCAACAGGGAGAATTGGTTGGGAATTATTGTGTCCATCTGCCACCCCTAATACAGTAATAATGACAAGCGGATAATAGTAGATCACAGTGAATGAAGGAGAAAGGAGGAGAGCACAGGAAGGTGGGGAGGGATGAAGAACAAGAACAGAGAGGAAATGGAGCAGATGTAGCGAAATCCGATGAGAGGCGAGCTCAAGCTCTACAGAGCCCCCCCCCCGATTCCTGAGCTGCAGGGAGAGGGAGACACGCAGACAGATACGGGTGAAACCGGATCAGACCATGCAGTGTGTGTTTGTAGCCCATAGAGGGGCTGTGGTACTGGTGGCAAAAATTACATAGGAAACCCCCCCCCCAACCCACACACACACACACACGCACATGAAAGACATAAACATAAACAGGAAAATGAGGACGAGAAGCAGTTAGTTGTTATATGTGAGCGAACATGTCTGTCAGTATTTACAAGGCTGTGTGAATTTATATTCCACGACACCATCCTGTCCTCTCCCCTCAGTGTGGGCCTCAGCATTACATAACTCTTTGTTTTTGTGTGTGTCGGTCTGGCCGCATGTGTGCAAGTTATTCGTTGCTTCACTGCACACACTCGGGATGGCAGCCAATGGCGAAGCAGTGCTCTTTATAATTAATTTAGGCCACACAAAGATTTTCTTTTTCTTTTGGTTGCTGCCTTTTACAAGGTTTTTTTTCTCTCCGTCCCTCCTGTATTTTATTACTAGCAAGAACTCAAATAGCATTTTTTGCTGAGTGCACATTAACAGCTGATGTTTGGGTTTGTTCTTGTACGCCGTGTGTGTAGGTTTGAAACACATTTTTTGCATCCTGTTTACATTCTAGTTTACCAGCTTATTCTATTATGTAATGAAATGTACTGAGGAGATTATCCAGTGGGCTTTGTGTCCCACAATGCATCTCACCCAGCAACGGCTCTGTGACCCTGAGCTGATCATCCTGTTTGACTTAGTGGTGACCTCTAACCTTGCACTTCCACATTCAGTTACAGTATATTAGCCTGCTGAGGACTTTACACAGTAATAAAGTTGTTGTTTACAGATCTGAATGTGGAGCTTGTCTTTAAATAGTTACAGTCGATATTTTCATAATAACAATTGATCAAATCATCATATGTAATGTGAGAGGAAATGCTTGTGAATGATGCGTGAAGATATGTCACAAGACGGTTAAATCACAATACTAATATGTGAAAATTTCAACCGGAGAGATGAAAAATCTATCATGATACTCTTTTAATACAGCAGAAGGCGTGATCTACTTTTATCTTGTTCGATGTCCTACATCACTCATATCAGTAGCTGATCAAGGCGCAAAGAGTTTCAGTATTACAAAGAAAAGGAAATATGCATTGTTTTGCAGAGTTTATGCTCTGCCTCAGAAATAAAAATTTAATTAATTTGATGCAGAATATATATTTTGTAGATTTCTGTCTGAGGAATAAAGGAATGTTTTTCATTCTTAATTTCATCTTAATCTCATTTTGTTCAAAATCATTTCATAAAGACAGTATTGTGAATTGTATTGAATCATGACTTGAGTGTATCGTTATATCTGTATTAACTACTAGTTCCTCTTTAATATGTGGCTAGTCTGCTGAAATGTTGCAAAAAGATAAGACCGTGTGTGAGAGGGAGAGAGAGACACAGACAGACAGACAGACAGACAGACAGACTCACACTCTGTTGCTAGGGGTAACTAAAGCTAGTGGGACACGAGCACTTGACTTCAGCAGCCGTACGAACAGTTAATAACTAACTGCTTTGGTAGAGCAATGAGAGGTGATCATTTCAGGGGCCATAACCTGCCACAAACCATGAATAGCTTATGCTGATGGAGCTGAGCACTCTTTACTGTACTCTGCTGATAGAGACAATAGCCCACAATAATGCAGCAGGCAGATCTAAGTCCATTATCTGGTGCTTGACCTCCTCATCACTTCTAATCTGTGACAAGGCACCGTGGAATACTGTGAGAACTGTGTGCTGTGGCCATTCCTAAAGGCTGAAGGTTTATTACAGTACCACCCTGAGATTATTACAGTCCTCTGGTTCTCCGAAGAGCAGCCATGTGTTTAGACTGACCACTGCCCTAGAGTCAAGCTTCAGGCAGCCAGCAGACACGACAAATCTTTTGCATTTATAGACATCTCCTCATTTGTCTTTCTGAATTTAACGTTATGTTCCTCATCCAAAAATGACCATGGCTTTGAATAGAGGCAATGGAGGAAATGCTCAGCCACAGCAGCTTTCTAGAAAAGACTTGTACTGATAGTTGTTGGTGTTCTTTGTGCTTTTAAAAATGTCAAATAAGTGCAATTAACAGTTATTAAAAGTGCAATTCAATAATTGTTTTGGCACAAGTGTACACTCATCAACTCTGCTTTGCCTAATGCTCCTTTACCTCCCTCATCCCTGCATTTCTGCTCTCTTGTTACCTGCCCCCCCTCCACAGTGCCAGACTCTGCCAAGCTCGACCCCACCCCTCCTCTTCCCCCCATCAACCCCAGTGCCGTCCCGTCTGTACCCCCAAGCAGTGGCAATGGCAAGCGTGCCCCCTCCGGAGGTCAGCCGCAGACAACACAGCAGTCCCAGACTCTGCTCCAACAGCGCTACCCGCCCAGAGAAGTGCCCCCGCGCTTCCGCCAGCAGGAGCACAAGCAGCTGTTGAAGAGGGGCCAGCCTCTGCCCACCGGGACCCTGCCTCTCTGCACCACAGGACGTCCCTCCACTACTGAACCTGCAGCAGCAGTAGCCATACACTCCTCTCCCTCCTGCTCCTCTTCCTCCACAGCCAGCCTGCCTACAGGTCAGCCTAGACACTCTTTTGGCGAGTCACTATATCTTTTTTTTTTTTTTAAGGTATTAAAAGGGAATTGCTAATAGGGAAGTTGTAAACTGTCTAGCCACTGTGCATTTTTAGTAGTCTTGTACGTTGTGTTAACTCGCACTACAAGTTTAAATCTGTCTTCCTGCATGGCTAGAACCTGCTACCTGTTATGCTCACACCGTATGGATCAGTTGACAGGCCAATGTGTGTTCTCATACTGAACGTCAGCAAGGAAACCAAGACAATTACAAGAAGGTTTATTCAAGCAAGACGACTACATCCTCAACTCCATGCTGACAAACTGAGAGAAAGGCAGCGTTACATTGTGCAATTCTATTAGAAATGGAAGTAAAACAGTTTTTGTTTTTTCACACTTATGTTTCTGAAGAGCCGTTGTGAAGCTCGGAGTGGTCAGCTCTGGCCATCTTGGCAGTCCTGACTTAACCAGCTCCCGGCTTATCCAAAAATGGGCAAAGATGTGGCGCTGAGGTGGGCTGAATGAAGTTGGTTACTGAAAACAGCCACCTGTGATGGTATCCACCTGTTACTCAAAGTGGCCATTCCCTTGATTATGCATAAGTTTAAGCCTATAGTTTAAAGGTTGTATAAAAATGAATCCTCTGTACAGTTGTCATGAATGGGGAAATTAGTTATAGAGACCAAAACTGTTGTTTGTACTAGGCTGTTTGTTTGTTTGTTTCTGCTGTAAGGTTGGGCATTTTAACATGGGGCCTTATGGAGACTCACCTCTGTAGCCTTGAGGCTGGCTATTGGCCAGTGGCCATTCGAGGAACTGCAACTGATAATACTATTATTACTGCTGTTGAAACAAGCTCACTACAGTTTATCACATATGTTTTGACAGAAGAATGAGGGAAATCAGACTCAAACTCAAACAGAAATTCAACAGATCGTCCGAGAACCAGATAGTTCAGACAGTTCAGATCAGGCGCTGCGACCTCCCTCGAACTGCATGTCAGAAAAGGTGAAGGTGATCAATTTGGGGTTAAAGATCAGCCTTGATCCATAGTGTCTGCCCAGCATTAAACAGCTCCAGTAAAAGAAAATGTTTTTCACTGCAGTATAAATACATACAGCACTTTAAGGTCTCACATAGGGTTAATTTTTACACATAATTCTTTATCTATAACTCATCTGGACAGCTGTTTGACTCATATCAGCTGTGTGCAAGACTGGTTGTCTCTTGCAGGTACTGGCATTGGCTCACTGAAATACCTGTAGAGCGGTGCAGAAGCACCACATCACAGGTGCTGCTGACTATTGTTTATTTTCACTCTGCCTCTGCCTGGCTGGGAATTAGAAATGGGGATAGAGGAATACAGGGGTAGAGGATGGAGAGTAAACACAGCTGGCTATCTCTGGATGTGTGTGTATGTGTATTTTCCTTCCCGAGGCTCTGCATGTCAGAGTAAACCAGCTTCTCTTGTATTTCCAAGTGGTAAAGATCTATTCTTTCTTAATAAAGTATCATCTGCTCTTTGAAGTTGATGATGTTGAAAATTCTCTTTAGGGCACTTGGCACTTTTCATTGTCTGGGAAGGAAAACAAGTTTTACCATAAGTGTGTGTCTGAGCATTGTCCAAAAACCCTTTTGATGCTGTTTGAACGCAGTCCTATCTCCATGGCGATGAGATGTTTATCCTGTCCTTTCTTTCTCTCTCCCCTCATCATCCTCCTCCTCCTGCTCTTCGTTGAGCATTGCTGACCAGCCTCACAGTATTTCCTGTTTTTGGAGGAGGAGCCATATGAAGCGAGCTAGTTGGCTGGGCGCCTCAGTGGGCCTGACCTGGCACTGATAGAAAGACTGAGTGAGAAGGAAGGAAAGAAAGAAAGAAAGAAGGAGAGAGCGAGCATGGCAGAGGTCCAGTACTGTGGGCTGAAGTGACTCATGGCTTACGGTAAAAGCTGCTGCTTCTCTCCGCCCCTCTCTGGCAGGCCCGCTCTGCTCTGCTTTTGCTCTCTGTGCGTCTTTGAACTGATTGATTACGTTACTAAAGACAAACAAGAGGACCTTCCAGACTGATAGATAGATAGGACTCCGGTGGGAGGTTTTCGTATATATGTACCTCTACATTCAAGGTAACTGGAAGGGGATCAGAGAAGTTTTGCACATGACCCTTCGCTCTGTCTCCCTTTACGGTTCTTCGTGCGTCTCCTAAACTAATTAAAACCTTGCAGCGCAGTTTCTGGTTTGTAAAATATGCTGCAATGTCATTTAACACACATCCGGAGTGCCACAGGTAATCCCACCTCTATCACTCTGTCCCCCCTTCGGCCCTGTCTGCTGATTGTCTCCCTCCCTGCTTTCATTTCTTGCTGATAGCTAACAGTAGAGGCACACTAGCTGCATTCATTCCCTCTCCCTCTCCCTCTGCTCTCCATCCGCTGACTCCCCCTCGCCTCACCCCGTCTTTCATTACCCGGTCACATGTCTGCTCTCTTGAAAAGTAGGGTTGATGAACGTGGTCTTTGTGTATACATGTGCCTGCATGTAAACACAAACATTCTCTACCTCTGCAGTCCTGCTGTGCGTGTCCCTGCTCACCTACAGTATTACTCTGCTGTAAAGGCAAGCAGCAGCAACCACTGGTGTGTTTTAATGGTCAAGGTTCATTATATCAAGTATAAATAAATACCCTTAATGAAGATAAAAGATATTCTTATTGAGGATACTTAGTTAAATGACATAGGGAAATTCCTATCTTACTAAATGATGTGCCAATAATGCACTCTGCAGCAGCCCCGGCCTCAAAGCTTTGTTTGATTATTTACTAATCAAATAATTAGCTTGTCATCCTATAATGTGTTGGCTATAGCACTTAAGATTTATAGCTACTCCCACTTTCATTTGTCTAATACCCCCTAGTTAAAGCCCATAAAGTACCAATCAAGGTTTTATATACCCTTAGGCATTGTATTTGCTAAGCACAACATGGGCCACACCAACAAAAACCATCTCAATGTAAACAGGCCTCGTCAAGTGAAAGAACGGTGCAGCTAATTTGCTTATAGCTTGTCTAGTGGAGACCAGAGAGAGTGTATGCATGCTAAACTTGATGTGCTCTTTAAGTCTGCTGATGATGCTGTAAAAGAGCCTTGGGAATCCCCTCAAAGAGAGCAGGGACGTCTTGTGATGTGATTAAACATCAGCACTCTGTTAACCACAAATGTTCAGCGCTCACTCTTTCTTTTCTCCATCTTTGTCTCTATCTTGTCTCTCTCTCACTCTGTGCCGCTGCTCCCCGTTGCACTCTCTGCCATTTTCGTTGTTCTCTGATGCACATGTGTTCACCTCCTCCACCTCCGCTATAGCAACACCGCAGCTCACACATACCCACGTTGGCCCCAGGGCACTCAAGGATTAGTCAGGCTGCACATACTATATGTATGTCTGTCAATCTTCCCATTATTTAGCCTTCTCACAATGTTGCCTTTTGCTTGGTTAACAATCCATATCCCAAGGCCCTTTCATGTAGAGGAGGCGTGAGAGAGCAAGCTATTTTAAGACTGGCATGCTGGAGAAAGCCCTTGACCTGGTTTATCCTTTAGAGGAGGAGGAGAAAGGGGATACTCGCTGGCAAACATGACGAGCAGATGTCTTAGATGTGTACTTTAAAAAAAACAAAAAAAACAAACATGTTTTGTACCTCTGTTAGTCTTTTTCTTTGAGATAATGTTTAGATAGTAACATAGCATTAACAGCAAAGCAGCAGTGGGGGAAGCATCCATACGAAACAGAATTTCTTGCATATATTTCTGCACAGTCCCTGTCCTCAAGCAGCTGTTGTTCCAGCTAACATCCAACAAACTATCTGTGCCACTTCAGCAAATTCCCAACAGTAGCAGTAACAAAAAGAGTGTTTTGTGTGTGCCTACAAGAACTAGTACGGATGATAGCAGCTATTCTGCTTTGTCATATTGTACCTCACTTTTGCAATGCTGCCCTGACCCTGCCTCATTCTCAGACCTTTAAACAGCTGGTTCAGTAGCTTATCCTAGACAGTTGCACATACAATATCTCAATCCTGGTAGTAACTTTTATGTTTGCCAGCTAATGGCCCACTGAAATAATACCTAATAAGACAAATTTTCTCTATAATCTCTCCAAGACATTGCACAACCTAATTATTTGATTATTCAATACTCATTCAGTGACTAAGATTAATAATCTTCAGTAGAAGATTTCTTAGATAATATCATATGCATTATATAATAATATATTTTAGTTTATGCTAAAATAAAAACACATTTAGCATATTTATTTAACATCCTTGTTTAATTTATGAATTATATTGTCAATTAAAAGTAAAAAGTTGTGAACATTTTTATATTTATAATTGCTTGTTTCATCTGACCAACATTAAAAAAAACATGATTACATTCAGTTTAATAATAGAAATGACAAAGAGAAGCAACTTGTGAAGATCAGGCATTTCTGCTTGAAATTTTTCTGATTCCTTTTGTATGACTCACTTACTCTGTTACTTTGTTCAGAATTGATCACAGAAAAACTTCGACAAAAAATGTCATCAAATAGTTTTGCTTGTGAAATTGAGAAGTAATAACAAGCATAATGTATGTTGCATAGACATATTTGAAGTAAGAAGAGTTTTAGTGTTGCAACCATCATTAGATCTGAAGCCTAAAATGACCTCTGATGAGCTCTGTCATCTCATTAAATAAAACTGCATCCACGCTCTTTAGTGCTGCTCCTGTACAGTTATGTGCACCAAATCAAAAACAATTGGGACTGTGATTGTTAAACACAGAGGTAGCACATTCCTGTGTGTGTGTGTGTGTGTGTGTGTGTGTGTGTGTGTGTGTGTGTGTGTGTGTGTGTGTGTGTGTGTGTGTGTGTGTGTGTGTGTGTGTGTGTGTGTGTGTGTGTGTGTGTGTGTGTGTGTGTGTGTGTGTGTTTCTGTCAGAGAGCTCGTTCATCTGGCTGGCAGCATGCATTGTCAGCTCTGTACCATCCCATCTCTCTGCCCCTCGGGGACTTCATTAAGCCAGGATCAGTCCAGCTGGGGCCCACACAGCCCTCCTAGATTACTTCCTCCTTCCATCTCTCAACGTCCATTCCTGTCCTTCATCCTCTGTCCTCATATTTTCATGCCTTATGATCCCTCTTTACTTGACCCTTGTATCCCCCCCCCTCTCTCTCTGTTAACATTTTCTGGCCACCGGCATGATAACCTATTTTGTTGGGAGTAGCAGAAAAGTAATATAATTAGTAGTGTAACTAATTACTGTTAGTAGGGAGTAATAAGGTAAGTAATATTTTTACTTTCAAAAAGAGTAATGAATAATAAGTTCTATTTTTTGACTTGCCCAACACTGCCCAGGCGTAACAGGCCTGGTTGGAGCTTGTGTAAATCACCTTGTTACTGTATTCCCTGTCGTCAAACTAGTGGAAATCAACCCTTCATTCACCGCAGTTAGATGTGAGATATTCTGTCTCTACAGCTCTTTTTCCTCTCACTCGCTCTTTGGCTCAGTGTGTGAACCGCGCCGCTGAGCAGCAGCTCTCATTCTCGGGAGGCAGACTATTAAATTAGCAGAATACAATGACAAAAATTGGCCAAAATAACCAACTGGCGATGGATTCACTGATATATTTGTCCATTCGCCCAACTCTAACACACACACACACACACACACACACACACACACACACACACACACACACACACACACACACACATTGCTACACCTGCTTGCATATACAAGGCTGAAAAAAATCCTGAAAGGAAGGTTTGCCTGCTTATCTGAGGATTCAGGAGGTAGTGTGTGTTTTTCTATTCGCCGGTGTGTGTGTGTGCATCCATACAGTAGATGCTGTGTCTGCACTGTGTGTATGTTAACATACAAAGGAGCGACTAGCCATGCAGTAGCACGGCATGACCTCACCGCATGTTATGTCCTCACAGGGGAGAGGCACAGTGGGCCGAACCTTAGGTATAAAGGGACTCTGTTCTCTACCAAACATTGACTTATTGTGTTGTTGCGTGGGCGCTGGGATCATTTGTAAACAATACCAGCCTTGATCTGGGGGACTGCTGCTCTTTTTTTTTTTTGCCTTTTGCTGAGCTCCCAGCCCCTGCTATCCTCCTCCCTCCATGCCTTCTTCTAAATCCTACGCATGTCTTCATCTGTATGCAATCTCTCCCCCCCTCCTTGTAGCTCCAGTGCCATGTTTGGGACCAGATCACCGGTCCCTAATCGTGCACTGTGACCAAATCCATATGAGCTTGCTCATTTCATGTCCTTGCCCAGTGCACAGAAAACACCCCCATGAAGCGACAGCTTTCTATCCAAAGCTCTGGTGCTGCTGCTTATAATCACAAGATGTCGTTAGCTAGTTTAGACAAAAACAGACATTTGTTATAATGTGTGATCCGATGATGTGCCTGTTCATACATAAACACATGAATGCGTGAAGGGGTGCAGCAGGCCATTGTGGGGTTTCTCTTGCCTGCTCGTAACTGCCATTGCTATTCAAGAGGCTTTCCATTGTGGGCACCAGTGCTAATTGCAGATGGAGTGGTCTTGGCTAAATATTTAGTGACAGTTTTGAAAGGTTGAAAGATGTGAGGGTGGGAGGAGGTTAGAAGAGTCCCCCTTTTGTTTTGTTTTACCTCATGCCTCGTGAGTGCATAATGAAAGTCTCCAGGCTTTATCGTTCAGCTGTTAACCAAGCCCCCTCCATCGCCCCCCACCCACCCAACAACAAAACACACACACACACACCAATAACCCCCCACCAGCCACCCCCCAAAAAAAAAAAAAAAAAAACTCCGACACTCCCCTCCCCTCCCCCAACCAGCCTTCTTTCAGTGCTTTTCCAGAGAGGAAAAGAATATCCTCTCGTCAGGATAGGAATAGAGCATGATATAAATAAAGCCAGAGGGAGGCAATAGATAGAAGAGGAGAGACCCAGCCGGAGCAGTTTTGGTGGGAGGGGCCGGGCATGAGGGGTGAGGAAGGAAGGGGGTGGTGGAGGGGAGGGGGGTGTCTCTCATGCCGCGCAAGAGCTGTGCAACTTCTTGGCAGCATTTCAGAAACGAGCCTCAGAAGCTTGGCGAGCCGAGCAGACATATTGAGACAAGGATGGTCGCTGCGTCGCACAAAACCTAGCTCTTTACAGGATGGTTGGCAGGCACCTCTCCACAGGTATTTCACTACTGGGTTTCACATCTCCCCTTCTTTCCTCTTCAGTCTCCCTGCTTTTCTCCCTTCTCTGTCTCTTCTGTGTTGTTTTGGTGCTTGTATTTACATACTGTGGATGTCCACTTTAAAGAATTAAAGCTGGAGCGACAGTGTATCGCAGGCATGCAGTGTTGAGTTCTTATGCTTTGTGTTTATTATTGTGAGTGAGACATGCGTGCTATTAAAGCAGCGATGGTGGAGATACAGACGGTAGTTCAGAGCCTTTTTGGCTGGTGTTCAGGACCGAGAAAATGGCGGTCCTGCACTTCTCAGTAGAGTGACGCTACAGAACGACAGCGCTGTGTGTCAGAAACACAGTGCCCTCTTTTTTCCCTCCTGCTCTCTCACTGCCTCCTCTCTCTACTTTAGTTTCAAGCATTGAAGTAAGCTTGAAAACAGGGGGTGGTACACAAATGCTGTCACTTCCCTCATGCAGTTGTGACACAGTCAGTCTTTGCATACAAACTAAGCATGCATGTGAAGGCACATGTAAACAACAATCCGCTGCAGCATGAGGGACAGCAGGAATGAGGCAATGAGGTGGCAGCAGGTTGATCAGTGCAGCATTTATGATCTGCAACTGGGCATAGTTTGTACCAACACGATCTATATGCATACTGGGACTCCAGGGAGGGTGCTCAACTTGCTCCACAGGGATCTAAGAGAAATAAGCCAAAGCATTACTTTGTGTTGTCGGAGCATTTGGGCAGGCCGATGGAGACTGACGTGTTGGTGAGGAGACAGCCTGCATAGAGCTATTGCATGGTATTTGTTCTTTGTGTCAGGCAAAGGTCATATCTGCAGTGGTTAGGAGGTCAGAAGTTAAGGATGTGTTAGCTGCATTGCCCTGTCATTGATTATTTCCTCTAATGTGGTTTCCAAATATGACTGTTATGAAGAAACAGTACTTAGCTATGAGGGCTTCTCATTTCATACGTGGCAAAAGCATGCATTATTTAATGACTAAAGACTAATTTAATGACTGAGAGTAAATGATAAAGACAATACGATTTTGCTTGTGGGACAATCCACTTGGTTTATTTTAACCCTATTTACTTAAGATAATCCCTAAATTTTGACATTTTTATTAGTATTACTAGTGTGCAAAAACACAGCACAGACAGTTTGTTCAAAATGTGAAGGGGCTTGTAGTCAATGTCTATATGATGACTATAAAATGGCTTCAGGTGTATACGAGTTACCACCACATTAATACATTTAAAAAAAAATGTTTTCTTCCTTTTTTTAAATTTATTATTATTTTTTTTTTTTAAGGCAACCCACCCCCCCAAACCAATCAAACAGTTGGGACAAGTCGTTACATTGTGAATATCTTCTCGTCTTATTTTAGTTACATCATGGATAATATCAGTCCCATCTTGAGTCATTACAAATTTTAGATTTGAAAACTACGTGAGACATGTGTGTGTATATATGTATGTATGTGTGTGTATATGTGTGTATATATATATATATATATATATATATATATATATATATATATATATATATATATATATATATATATATATATAGCTGCAATCATATTAGACATTCTCCTCTGTGTTTGCATTTTCAGTGTGAGAGGTATTTATTTTGATTATGTACACATCTTGTGAAGTGTATGTGCACGTAAGTAGACTCCTTACATGTTGCCATGGCATTTCAGTATTACTAAGCATATGTGGGTGTGATGACGTACATAACTTATACTTCTCTTCTATCATCCTCTTGCTCATCCTCATGTCCTGTTGTTTTTCTTTCCTCCAATACAGAACTGCCCCCACAGAGCGGCCAGGGAGCCCAGTATGATAATCCCCTCTGGGGACCCCTGCCAGCCAACAGGAGTGCCACAAGTGCTGTATCTTCCACCAATCTCAGTGGCTGGGATCAACTGATCATTGACCAGAAGGACACAGAGGCTTGGCCTTCCATTACCCTCAGCCAGAGCCAGGCCCCTCTAGGAGGATGTCCTTTGGACACTGACCCTGGTCGCCTGACCAGCAGCAGCAGCAGCAGCAGCAGCAGCAGCAGTAGTACTAGTAGTAGTTGTAGTACAGTGAGTATGGCCACTGGGGCCAATAGCCAGACAGGCCACTTCCCTGCCAACCACCTTAGCAGCAAGGCTAACAGTGGGCCCGGCCCTGCCAATCATACTGGAACCAGCATGCTCTCTAGCCAGGTTGCAGCCAATCGCAGCTGGGGCTCTGGGCCTGGACCTTCCCATTGCCCCCCTCAGTCCTCAGTGGGGAGTGAAGTGAAGAGTGACAGCCCAGTGGGAGGAGGAAGCTGCAGGGGCTGGGGCTCTTCTTCGTCATCTTCCACCACCAACTTTAACTTGAACCTAAACCCTAATGCCAACCCTTCTGCCTGGCCCATGTTAGGGCATGACGGGGGTGGCACAGGGGGAGGCAGCTCAGGGGGAGCCAACACCATTTCACCTCCTCAACCTACACCAAACCTCTGTAATCCACCTGGCCCCCCATCAGCCCAGACCAGCACCTGTACCGGAGCCAACACTAACAGCAACTCCTCGGGGATTGGCAGCGCCTGGGGTAGCATAATGGCCTCTGACACTTCAGAGCCCCACCCCTCCCCGTCCACGAATGTGTCTTTCAGTTCAGAACCTCAGAACCTTAAAACTGATGGACCAAATCACACTAATAAACAGGAACCCCCCAGCCCCATCCGCAACATGCCTGGCTGGGGTAGTGCACCTGTTGGCTTGGGTTCCATGGGCCAGCCCTCACCAGGGGGCCCACAGGTCAATGGAGAAGATGGTAGCTCAGTATGGGGTAACAGTGGCGACTCAAAGGCACCTTCATCTAAGGAGGCACCTGGCTGGGACTCTGGCTGGGGCCATGGAGGAGGTGGAACAGGAAACTCTGGATGCTGGGGTGACCAGTCTGGTGGAGGCTGGGGGAAGCAGCACACTGAAGAGGCCCAGGGAGGCTGGGATGCCCCGACTTCTCCTCCCCAGGATTCACAGGCTAGTCCTTGGAGCAGAGCTGTGAGCACAGCTGCTGCGAGTGAAGGGAGCAGTGACAGCATGGAAGGACATCCCCGGCACAGAGAAAACTCATCCAGAGATAATCCAGCTCCTCTGCTGCCTGCCCAGGATCTGGACCCCAGGGTGTTGTGTAACACTGGCTGGGGACAGACCCCTGTTCGCCAGCACACCACCTGGGACATGGACGATACTAAACGCAAGAATGATGCAGTCACTGATTCATGGGGCTCTGGCCCAACCACTCCAAGCGATGCCCAGGGGCCCACCAACACTAACATGGGCCCCTCTCAGAGGACTGACTCTGGGAGCAAAAATGATGTGCCTGGTTCTCAGGGAGCTTCAGGTTGGGGTGGGAGTATAGCCCCTACCAACCAGCATAGCTCTGGTTGGGGAGAGCAACCCAACAGCATTAAGCCCCCAGGTGGTCCTGGTGGCTGGGGAAACCCTCCAGCAGGAGGCCCCACCACCAGTATACCCAAGAATGGGGGCCAGTCCTGGGGAGAAGAGAAGTCAAGTGGGTGGGATGATTCTCACATCAAGGCAACATCCCAGAGCTGGGGAGAGCAACCCAAAGCATCCCACAGCTGGGGCAATAGTGGAGGGAGCAATAATGCAGGGGACTGGAGAGAACCAGAGGAGAGCAAAAAGAGCCCCACCAACCCTGGGTGGGAGGGAGAACCAGGAGGCTGGAAGGAAAAACCACGAGGCTGGGGAATGCCTTCTTCAGCACCTAGCATATCTGGAGCTGGAGGAAATGGGGGCTGGGGAGAGCCAGTTTGCCAGCGTCCCAGTGGCCCTCCTCAAGGTTGGGGGGGCAAGCCTCAGGATGGGCCCGGTGGTGGTGGTGGTGGTGGTGGTAGTGGTGGTAGTAGTGGTGGTAGTGGTAGTGGTAGTGGTAGTGGTGGTGGTGGTGGTAGTAGTAGTAGTAGTGGTGGAGGAGGTGGAGGAGGAGGAGGAGGAGGAGGGAGCATGGGCTCTTGGGGTGGCTCAGGCACAGTGAAGCAGGGTGTAGGCTGGGGTGGCAACAAGCAGGAGTCCTCAGCTGAGCCTACAGGCTGGGAAGAGCCCTCCCCACCTTCAATCCGACGTAAGATGGAGATAGATGATGGAACCTCAGCTTGGGGTGACCCTGGTACCTACAAAAAGTCAGTAAACCTGTGGGACAGGAACAATCCAGGAATGTCCCAGGCTAAAGTTACCACTGGAGGCAATAACCCCCCAGGCCCCAACAACAACAACAACAACCATCCACCCTCTCACAATCATCCTTATCATGGGCCACCTGCACCTATACAGAACCACACCCAAAACTCCCAAAATCCAGGGCCCACCGGTGGGTCCATTGAGCCGGTTGTCCAACACTCACAGTCTGGACCATCTCACAACAGGGTTCCTGTGATAACACAAGGTAAGACAACAATAATGCTGTGATTTTGCAACGTGTAATAGTGCCACATAGCCCATATCTATCCTGTTTAACCAAGTTGGTCAGATTCATTGGCTTATAGTATATAGATAAATCATAATGTCATCATTCAGACTTTAAAGGTGATTTGATTTCAAATATTCAAAATGTAACTCAAGGTAAATTAGATTAATATAATCTTTTCATAGTTTCTCTCTTCTTTTTCACTGTACAAAGAAAATGTGGCAAACATAAAGTGGGTTGGGTAGTTAGTACAGTGCACTGTTAAGCTCCAATCTGTTGATCCACTTAAAGGTAAAATCTTGACCTAGTTTGCCCTCTTTGGATTTACATCTAATCGACTATCCAAATAAGTTAAGCAGTGCCAGCCTTGTCCCTCCAGGAGGCTCCTCACATTTCACAACACCGGACACGTCAGTGCGGGTATCCCTGGCAACCTCTCATGGGTACCCAAAGGAAGCACAAGAATGCTGTTTACAAAGTGTCTCGTGAAAATAGCGATTCACCACAAACTGTTTGAGACGGATCGGAAGTGTGTGATTATATGGGAGCCACCATCTGTCAGTAGTCGAAGGGAGGAGGTGGAGCAAGTCCCTATGAGCTGAGAGGGGGCAGCGCCCCCTGCTGTCCCTCCCTTTACCCTGCATGCTGACTCCACATTTGATTCATTTGCTTACTAATAAAACTTGATAGCAGTCTATATTGCTGGCATAATGGCCGTTGATCATATTGTGGGTTAAAACAAAGTCTAAAAACTTTTCATAACTAATGTCAGAAAGTGTGTGGGGGGGGAATTACATTTGTTTTGCCCCAGTATGCCATGTTTTAGATCTGTGTAGCAACTTGGCCAGTCATACTGGAAGGTTGAATGTTAACTATAATTTTGGAGCAGCCTTTAGGACTTGACCTCTCCCTGGAGAGAGAGCTAAGCTGAGCCTGGCACTGCCACAGGCCCTGAGCCAGAACTGTGTCTCTAATGCCAAGAGGAGCCAGGCTGCGCCAAATTTTAAATGGGCATCTTTTCCCTCTGTCAACCACCCTGCTAAGCCAAGCCTAGGTTTCTGCCATCCTGCACGAGTGGCGTTTCACACTCCAAAACAGAGGGATAAATGGGGTGATGGTGTTTACCAGAGGCTTCATTAGCTTTAAGGCTCAGTTTATATCAACAAATAAGAAACAAACAGGAAAACAAGAAAATAGGATGCGAGTGGCATGGTTTTGTAGGTCTATCAGTTATGTGCATTGTAATTTAAGCTGTACAATTAAAAATATAGATGAATAAATAACAAAAATGTATTTAATTTGAACATGGGGAGTATGGTTCACAAACTGACAAACATGCTTGTTAGACTTTAGAGTTAAGCATCATAAACTCTTGTACTGAGCGCAAAATAACGCACGAGCCAGAACAGTTTGACCCAATGCTTCATACTCTGTCATTAAAATTTGTTTGGTAAAACACATGTTCAGTAAATTCAACAAACCAATAACAAAGCACCATGAGGTCGGACTGTGAAAATGCAGCTAATTTTTGACAGCTGTATTTCGCAGTGCTTCTGATACTCGTAGAAAATGCCGACAATGACTATTTTAATTTGCTTCTCTCAGTGTTTATAATAATATTTTATAAAAAAATTGTTCATGATAATAATTTATAATAATAGTTTGTAATAAAACTATTTTAGGTTTTTGTAATGTATCTTTCTACCCCTCCCAATGAGAACATCTATAAACCAAGGCAGATGAGAGAAAATGAAGGAGGTAATATTCACTTATTTTAGATATTTTTGTTGACATGCCCTTGTCCTTGCGTGTCTTCCAGGTTGGGGAGAGATACCCAGCTCCCACACAAAATCAGAGAGCTCTTGGGGGGAACCTGCACCCGCTCCGGTCAGCGTGGACAACGGGACATCTGCCTGGGGTAAACCTACCGGGAGCTGTGGAGGCTGGGGAGACGGTAACCCAGACAACTATGGCAGGGGCAACCCGGCGATGACATCTGCATCTTGCAAACCTGGTAACCAGTTTAACCCTGTGTGGTTTATGAATTAGTGTTTACCAACTTACCTTAACCATTGATACCACATGTGTGTGCTTCAATAATTCTCTCCTGATGAGTCAAATCAAGGACATCAGTATGTTACAAGGGAAGCAAGAGCACTGGGAATTTTACCCAGAAATCCACACTGACCCCTACTGGCCATCTAATATTTAGTGTTTAGATTACTCTTCTGCAGTAATGTCCAAACATTTTATGTTTATGTACCCAGTTCATAATTTTGTCACTTTTATTTTCCTTTATCAAAGAGTTGTCTTAACCTTACTGAAAGCTCACTAGCAAGAGGACAACCAGCTGGAAGCTGAAGCTGGATAGGGTTAAATCATCCAAATGAAAACTAGGCTATATTGCTGTCTTTAGGCTTTAAAGTTTGTGCAGAAGGTGAAGAAAAATATTCTCTAACTTGTGTAAGAATTCAACTAAATCCATTTGAGGCTTTCCGTAATGTGTGATATCATATATTTGTATTTTTATGGGAAGGATAAGTTCCCATGTGTCACAGTATATGTCCTCAGCGCTGGTTTATATCCTCTATACTGTGTTTTCCAGCCCCCAAACCTATGCAAGATGGATGGGGAGGTGGAGGTGGAGGTGGAGGTGGAGGTGAAGAGCTGAACTTGTCGGGGGGCCAGTGGGATGCTGAGGAGGGAGACATGTGGAACAACACTGCCTCCCAGGAGAGCAACTCCTCCTGTAACTCTTGGGGCAATGCATCTAAAAAGGTCCCACAGAAGGTGAGAAGCAGGATTAATTACATACAGAATTGACTCTTAGACCATTGGAAACTATTTGATTTTACATTTTTATAGTAAAATATTAATTATATGTGGTGATAATAATTGTCTTTAATCATCTCTCTCAGGGAAAAGTCCCAGGGAAGCAAGAAGATGCCTGGATCATGAATCGTCTCATCAAACAGCTGACAGACATGGGCTTCCCTGTGAGTTGAACTTCACTCCTGCACTGCATTCTTTTATTTACCTTTGATCAATTGTGGTTATTTCAACATACTATTAATAATTTCCCTTTTAAGGGTGAGGAAATAGAAATGGTTGTCTAAAGCCTCGATTTGTAGAATTATGGAACTATATCCAACTTTGGCGCCCCCCAGAGCACGCATTATGTAATGCATTGTGGCTGATGACTAAATGTTAAATATATTCTAATTAGTCCACTCTGAGAATTATTGTGATTAAACCTGCAACGATTAGCCAATTAATATATTATTTGATCTACAGAAAATAAACTATTTTTATTATCAATTAATCATTTTTGAGTTATTTTTTTAAGAAGAAAATGCCCACATTTTCTGGTTCCTGCATTTAAAATTGGAATATCTTGTGGTTTACTTTCTCTTTTAAAATTATGAACTAGTAGTTTAATTAAAAATATCAGAGAGGACCGTTGGTCAGACAAGACAAGACAAGACATTTGAAGACGTCACCATGGCGTTATAAACTGTGATAGGCATTTTTCACAATTTTCTGACATTTTATAGACATTTTATGTCTCAATTAGACAAGTGATTAATTTAGAAAATAATTGACACTTAAATTGATAATGAAAATAATGATTAGTTGCGGCCCTAATTGTGATTGGTCATTTAATCTACAGTTGGAGCATATGTGCGAGACCAGTAACCAGTAAAATCTACTTATCGGGATAATTTATGTTATTTAGTATTTCTAACATTAGTCATTGAAACAGTGTGTTCATACTACATTTTGGCATTGATTTGTTCTTTCGGATTTATTCTCCAGAGGGATCCAGCCGAGGAGGCTCTGAAGAGCAACAACATGAACCTGGATCAGGCCATGAGTGCCCTGCTGGAGAAGAAGACGGAGCTGGACAAGCGTGGGATGGGGATAACTGGCCACGACTACAACAACGGGCTCATGAACAAGCCCATGAGCTGCCCTCGGCCTCCGCTTCTTTCCAAAGACCCCTCGGCAGACCCCCGCTTGCCCTTCATGGACAAGGTAATTCATTCACTTACATAAAAATACTGTAAATGAGGCAGTTTTTCATTTGAATGCTGGTCTAGAAATATTTAAGACCTTTCAAACTCATAAATGTAGATCATCCATTTCAAGACTTTTTATGGATTAGCTGCCCTTGTCTCACTGTAGTGCAATAGATGCGAGGAGACTGATAACGAAAATGAATAATTAAACATCCATTTCTTGTTTGTTTTTTTACTGAAGCGGAGATTGACTCTCTCTCTTTTGCCTCTTCCTTTGTCCAACAGATGCAGAGTGGAATGTTTGGCGGTGGTGGAGCAGCACAAGCCCGGGCCATGCAGCAGCCGCAGCCGCCTCCTCAGCCGCCAGTGCCGCCTCTCAGTTCCTCTCAGCCTAGTCTACGTGCTCAAGTGCCTCAGTTTCTCTCCCCTCAGGTATACACACGCACACACACACACACATGGCCTTATTTCTCACTTACTACGCAAACACATTAGTAGGCGAAGCGGTTTAATGTATGCAATCATGAATATTTTACATTAAGATTACAGTCTTTAAAACATCTCCGCTATGAGTGTCTCATTTATTATGTATCAGTTGAAGCCTCTTTGAACTATTTATATATATAAAGGGGGGAGATTATTTTTTGCTATTCAGACTTTGTATGTGACTTCACATAAGAAGTGTATGCACCAAACACAAACAAATACTCTGTTTTACATGATAGTTTTGTTAAAACATTGTGTTGATACTTTGCCCATAGGTTCAAGCACAGCTCTTACAGTTTGCAGCAAAAAACATTGGTCTGAATCCTGCACTTTTAACCTCACCAATAAACCCTCAACATATGACCCTTCTGAATCAACTTTACCAGCTGCAACTGGTGAGTCTTATTTAGCCTTTCACTGCTTTCAGTTTTGTTAGATACATCAGATATAGTTGCCTTTAGTAGAGCGCACATAGCAAATATGTAGGACCCCAAACCAACAAAGATCAAATGCATTAAGAGGACTGCAAATGTGTACTTTTCATGTTTTAATTACTAACCCATTTTTATCGAATGCCATTTTTATTCTTTTCGAGTACTTTTGAGTTATAACTGGATTTACAGACAAAGCGACATCTGTTGACATTGAAACCATGCTTATACCTGATACACAGGCATACCAGCGTTTACAAATTCAGCAGCAGATGTTGCAGGCTCAGCGCAACGTTTCTGGCCCCATTCGACAACAAGAGCAGCAAGTAAGTTTCCCCTCTTAACATTCAGTTTTTCTTTTCTTTCCTGCTCTCTACTACTCAATGAAAAATCCTTTTTTTAACCTAAATAAAGCTGATTGAAGAAAAATTATTGTGAAAACAGTCCAGGCCAATATTTATTTCAGTTGTAGTTCATGTAAGGCCTGCACATTATTGATCCTAAATATATCTCTATTGTCATCCCAGGTTGCACGTACAATCAATAACATGCAGCAGCAGATCCAACAGCACCAGCGTCAGCTGGCCCAGGCTCTGCTGATGAAGCAGCAGCAACAGCAGCCACCCCCCTCGCACTCGGGCCTGCATTCTGGCGGGGCCAAATCCACCCTGGATTCATTTCCAGGTCACCCCCAGGCGCCAGGCCTCCCTGACCTGCAGACCAAAGAGCCGCAGTCATCTCCCAACACTTACAGCCACTACTCTCTCTGTGAGTGGCATTAACCTTTCTCTTCCGATGACAATAATAATGATAAAACTACGTAAATCCTTGGGAGCTGGTTTAGTAACATCTATCTCTCTTCTCAGCTGGACTAAATCCAAACATGAATGTAAACTGCATGGAGGTGGGAAGTATGTCTATGAAGGAACACCCCCAGCCTCAATCGCGCCTGTCGCAGTGGACACATCCCCACTCCATTGAAAGCCTCTCTGGAAACTCCTCTCCTCTAGAGCCCAACCTGGGCAAGCATGGTGAGAAAAGAGCGAGAATCCTGGGTAATTAAAAATACCACAGAAAATAGAGAATGCTTTGTTTCATATCTGATGCAAAGTTTGTGTTTATGTTTTAATAAACAACAATAACTATGTATTCCTTTATTAAATTAATCCTCATTTTTTTTCAAATTAAGCCCCCTTTTCACCCTTTACACCTTATACCTGTGCTCAACAGGCAAATCTTTTGTGACTGACACCATGATATAACAAGAAAGATGTTAGAAATTCAGAACACAATTACTTAAATATGTATTATAATATAATTAAAATATATAATGACACTAATAACTAGCAAGCAGTGTGAACAAATAGTATCTTTCATTGTTTACTTTCCCCACATTTTACTGATATCAATCTCTACACTTTTAACTTCACTTTTCTCAGGTGCCAACCTGGGCCCCCCTGGAAAGCCTCATCAGCTGGAGGACTCTTACAGCCCCTACAACCTGATGTCCAGCTCAGATTCTCCTACCAGCCCACTGGTCCCCCCAGACAGCTGGGGGCAGGGAAAGAGCAGCAGTGACAAGATGGCCAATGGGACCAATATCAACTGGCCACCAGGTTAGGAACACACTCACTGTTGACAGTTTGACAGTTTTCCTTTGGGAGCCATATGTAGAACACTGTCTGTTTCATCTAGTTAGCCATGTTGGCAACAACAGGATCCTGGCAAAATGTTAAGAGTGATCACTTTCATCACTGTCTCATTACTGAAATATTGAGTACACACTTGAGACCATTATCACTCCATCTACCTGTATTAACAATTCAAATATAGTAGCTAAGTTAGAGAGTTAAACTTCAGCAACCAAAAACTGATCCTAATCTTTAGTATTGGCCCTTGGTCATAAATGTATATTATGTTGTGGTAAGAAAAAAAAAACATTTTTAAAATTAATTAATTTTGATTTTCAGAGTTCTGTCCCGGTGTGCCCTGGAAGGGTCTCCAGAATATTGATCCTGAGACCGACCCCAACATGACCCCTGGCAGTGTCCCCAGCGGGCCCACCATCAACACAAACATCCAAGATGTCAACCGCTACCTTCTGCGGGATAGGAGTGGAGGTGAGCACAGGATCAAAAGGTTTTAGAGTGACAAAGCGTCTTAATAAAGATACTTAGTAAGACGTTTTTGTGTCGTGGTTCTGGCCCAGAATTTTAGGAAATGTTTTTCCACCACAATTGGAGAGTTGTGTCCCCATGTATTGTAAGCCCACTAAAATTGTCTGACAGTATCATACAGTTGGTGCCACCAGAAAGCCTGCTTCTTACTCTTTTGTTCTTCATTTTCCTACTTTTAACTGCCTCTTTAATCATTGCCATTTGCCAGTTTATCCTCTTCTCTTCTTAATGAGCTTACTATCATCATTTGTAGTGCATTTTTCCTTTACTCCATTTTCTCTCTCTGCTATTTTTTCCTTATTTGTTTGTGTCTGTCTATTTGTTTGTGTTGATGGCATCGGCTTAGGCTCCTCTCCCACTTCATCTCAGAACGAGGCTCTGCCTCCCTCCACTGATTGGCCAGTCAGTGCCTACACTAGCTCGTTCAGTCTGTCGTCCCCGGAGACGGACGATGCAGGTACATGGTTTATCCGTAACCTTCTACCCCCCACATTGCAGTGGCTGAATAACTGCAAATCAAAATCATCCTCTCCCCCCTGTTACTGTAACAACCAGAGCCTCAACCACTCACTGGAGAACCACAAATTAAATATGACCCTCATTTGAGCTCTCTCCTTGTCAGCTTTGCCTCTCATGCAGTGCATACCCCCCCCCCTGTGGTGTTAGTGCAACTAGTGTATCTCCTTCCTCCCTGTGTGTGGCATGGGAAGTGGTGTTGGGCAAATATGAAAGAACTTTTAAGTCCGATCATTTTGCTCTGCAGGACTCCCTCTTGTGGGAGCAGCTGTCTTTCGGTCACTTGGTTCTGCAGGCCAACCTTTCCCTCGCTCTCTTCCATCCAGGTAAACTGTCAGAGATGAAATCCACTTGGTCTCCAGGCCCCATTTCCCACAGCCAGGCCTCTCTGTCCCACGAGCTGTGGAAGGTCCCCCAAGGCCCACGGAGCAGCAACACAGCCCCTTCCCGCCCCCCGCCTGGCCTCACCAACACCAAGCCTTCCTCGACCTGGGGGGGCAACTCCCTGGGTTTGGCCCAAGGCTGGAGCAGCTCTTACACCACAGGTAGTCTTCTATAGTTAACTGTTTATGGTTTCATTTCAGTTCAAGAAATGCAGGTAAATATTACACATTACAACTTTTGAATGTTTTCGGAAACTTTTTGTATGTAGATAAAGAAGAAAGTCACTCATTATCGTCAAATCTCATCTTGCATGTGAAAATATTGTAAGAGTAGTTGAGACATACTGGATAGTTGAAACACTCAAGACACTTCTTATGCTGTCAGTGAGTCGTCTAAAAGTGATATTATCAAACCATAGTGTGTATGTTGTGAAGTATGAGTGAACCTCGCAGCATGAGCAGCACTTTGATGTGGCCTGCAACCACAGGGCAATTTTGAGAGACACAGAGGAGGCAGGATTGTCAACGACTTCAGAAAATCTTGTTGCTGCTGAACAAGTGTCAACTGACACTGGGTGTTTTCTCTTTTCTCACGGTAGAGATCGACAACACCCTTTCACTTTTTGTAACTGACTTTGGTTTCAGACAAGCATGGTAAGCATACACTTCATGCCAACAAATGTCTCTCTTATACACAGCAGGTACCACGTGGAGTACAGACAGCTCCACCAGGACCAGTAGCTGGCTGGTTCTGAGGAACCTCACTCCACAGGTAACAGTTTACAATCAGCTGCTTTCTCTTAGCCTTCAAGCATTTAGGCCTCACAGAGAATTAACTGTATCTGTCCACTAATGGCCTTCTGCGGACTTGTTTGTGTCGCAGATTGATGGTTCGACTCTGCGTACACTGTGCATGCAGCACGGCCCCCTCATCACATTCCACCTCAACCTGACACAAGGCAACGCTGTGGTCCGCTACAGCTCCAAGGACGAAGCTGCCAAGGCTCAGAAGTCCCTGCACATGTACGTCTTCTAATGAACGGCTTCAAGGTGTTTGGCTCAGTTGACTTTTGAGAAGCTTTAACCATTGCTCACCTATGTTTATTTCCTCTCATCTCCGTCCAGGTGTGTGCTCGGGAACACCACCATCCTGGCAGAGTTCGCTGGGGAAGAGGAAGTGAACCGCTTCTTTGCACAGGGCCAGTTGCTTGGCGGAACAACCAGCTGGCAGGCCACTCCAGGCACCAATCAGACAAGGATGGGTGGGAGCGGGTCCGGAGCTTCCCATCCCATCGGTCACTCACCCCACTGGAACAACAACAATGGCAGCAGCAGTAGCGGCGGCCTGGGAACAGGCGGAGCAAAGACAGGTGGAGAGTTGCTGTGGGGTGGCGTGCAGCAGTATTCCAGCCTGTGGGGACCCCCGAGTGGAGAGGAGGGACGGGTCATGGGGAGTCCCACCCCAATCAATACGCTGCTGCCTGGGGACCTGCTGAGTGGGGAGTCCATGTAGGACGGAGGAGCCCAGGCTTGACAAACACCGACAGGAGCAAAAACCTTGCAAATCATTGTGGAGATAATCAGTGTGGGTGTAACGGTGAAAAGGAGAGACGAGAGGAGGACGAGGCTACATCCTCGCTGCTCACCCTCGCCACCCTCCTCTACTCCTTTTTGGTTTTTAATGACATTTCAGTTGCGGTTCTTTTGTGAATCTCAGTGAGAGATTTTGGTTACAGTGTTCAGCTCTTACTTTTGGAGACACAGGAAGAAGTCTTTCATTCAACAAAGAAAGTGAACTTTTTACAGAAGTTAACCTTTTGAGAACTCGCCGTGTGAAACATGTACTTTAGTCAAACTGACACAATGACGAGCTGCCATCTTTGAACTTGCGTAATCCCTCTGCCTTTTGAGGCAATCATACTGCACCTCAGAGATCCATCAAAAGGCATCATTCCCAAAGTAAAAAAACCCCTTCAATCAGAGTGGTTGTCGAACTTTCAGCTGGTCCAGACTCAACATTTGTTTCTCTCAGCACTAATATTAGCCTTAACCTCTTTCCTGCCCTGCTATCCTCACTCACTGTACTTGGTGAAGAAGCATACGGACACTTGCACACCCTTATTTCTGAGCCAGTGAAACCTGAGTGGAGAGTACATGCTGCTCCGGCTTAACATAAGCAACCACAGCTCACAACTTCAGTGCATTTTTGCAAGCAGATTGAGTTCCCCACACAACGCTCAAAGGGAATGATGCAACTCTGTTCGCCGTGTTCAAGCCATTTATTTTTGTAGTGGTTTTTGTTTTTTATTTTTCTTCTTAAACCATTGCAAACAAAGCTAAGAACTGATATTATTCAATGTGTCTGTCAATCTTACCTGGTTGGGGTGAGAGTTTCGGGGGTCGTTGCATGTACAGTTATAGACGTGATGGATGACAAAAATGAACCACTGCTATTACTATGGAACTGTAAAGACAAATACGTCAATGCACCTCAACTCGCCTGCGAGGATCTCGCAGTTTGGTCTCAGTCTCGGACCCTCTCACTGATGTTGTGGAAAACCTCAAGTTGTAAATGTTTCCCACTGGTGTGTAGTCAATGACCCCCACCCCCCCACCCCCGCTCCACCTGCAAAAACACCATTTCAAGTGACGTGCAATATAAGCCACAGACTCTACCGTCCAAGCATCCTACCATGACCTCTCACCGAAGGAGAGGAGACTATAAGGAACGATTGAACTGCAAAAGCTCCATCTGCCCTGCACCCCCTCCCCCCCTCCCACCCTAAAACTGCCACTACTACCCTTCATCTGCCCCCCCCCAAGAGTGTGTGAGCTCAGGAGAGTAGCAAGCTGGCCTTCGACCACCTTCTGTCCAAGATACAAGGACGTACATACAAAGCACTTCTTCAGCCGGCTTACTCTCCACACTTATGCCAGTGACTAGTTTTGGGGGCGAAGGAGGGACAGGTGTGTGTGTGTGTGTGTGTGTGTGTGTGTGTGTGTGTGTGTGTGTGTGATTGTGTGTGTGTGTGTGTGTGTGTGTGTGTGTGTGTGTGTGTGTGTGTGTGTGTGTGTGTGTGTGTGTGTGTGTGTGTGTGATTCTTTGTACGTTTGTGTGTGTGTGATTCTTTGTACGTTTGTGTGTGTGTGATTCTTTGTACGTTTGTGTGTGTGTGTGTGTGTGTGTGTGTGTGCGTGTGCGTGTGCGCGTGTGCTTGGGGAGAAGGCATCAAACCAAAATGAGAGGAGCCTGTTTTCCTTTTTACCCAGAAGACCAGATTTTTTTTTCTTTTTGCCCAAATTTGCGTAGGTAGAAAAGGGTGAAGCAAAGATTTGTGAATAGGTGGTCTATCATAGCACTTAGCAAGAGCATCGCAGCTCGTTATGCCCTTAATGCCAACAAATAGAAGAAAGGAGAAGCAACACTGGCAAATAAAAACTGAAAAATAAACAAGGACAAAAAAGCAATCTGCTTAGTGGCTTCTCTACATACTTAGTTTTTAACTTAACAAGGATGTGAAGATGTTTTTTTTTTGTTTTTGTTTTTTCAATCCTTCTTCCCTCAAGTCAGTGGGACCAGGAAGGATGTCAAACATGGTAGCAAAGTGAAGGGAAATACAAAGAAAGAACTAACTCAACTGATGATGGGTGCAGCAGGGAAAAAGACCCCAAAGCACTCATTCCTCACTCTCTTTATCAAAGTAAATATCACTGTTACATTGCATACTTTGAAATCTTTAGCCTTGGTGTCTGGAAACGCTCGACGTGTTTATGTTCTACTGGGTCCTGCAGGGAGGATCGCCATCTTTTTTCGTCCTTTTTTTTTCTTTCTATTGGAGGCCCTGCCAACCTGTGTGATAGTGTGGCCACTGAGTGCCTGTCTGCTGCAGAGTGCAGTGCTCTGCAGCAGCCCTCACCCAACCCTCCCGCTCGCTTGCTGCCTCCCTGCGGATCCCTACAGACTGGCTTCCTCCTTCTCCTCCCCCGGCCTCCAGGCCAAGAGCAGCTCTTTCAGAACTGGCCCACCTGTATCAAATTTACTACTACTGCTGCGCCAGAGTCTGTCCTCAGCAACCTCCAACTCCACGCTCTCTCTGTCTCTCTCCTGCAAGGATCACTTTAGCCAGAGATGGAGGCGTTTGATGTGTTGTTTTGTTTTTTGGAATTGCCAGTGTGCATTTTTATTTTATTGTTGTCAGGAAAGTTTGCTGATATTGTTGCTGTTATCATTGATGATATAGATAATGATTGTTTTTCTGATGATGATTTCATGGCTTTTTAATATTGGTCTTTATGCAGTGTTCAGCTTCTCTCCTGCCCCTCCCACTGCCCTCTGAGGCAGAAAGCAGTGTGTCGTTGTAGAGGTACAAGCCAGGCCAATACGAAATACTGCAGATCTCAGTAGAAAAGGGCCGGTGAGGGAGTTCTGTATGTGGGCTTGTTGGAGTCAGACGGGGGGGCGGGGGGTTTGAAGAGTCAAATTAAGTGGGAAAGGTTTGTGTAGTCAAAGGTTCTCCAGGATAGTGAGCCAACTTCCTCTGTCCATCCTGGGGCACCCACCTCCACTCTATGTTGTCTCATCACACACACATCCTTTTTAGTGTTGATGGGCCTCACTCACACTGGTGCTTTATGTTTGACTCTGGGAGCACTCAGTTACACTTAGAACCACCTCAACTGATAACAGCCTTCCATTTCTATGCAAAGACAAGGAGGTGTTCGTTCACAGCCATCTAGAAAATCACAGCCATCCCCCACATCTTCACTTATCTCTCAACCTTTACTACCAGGCAGCTTCCCTTGAACCCCCCCAGCCCTCCTGGATAAAATGAAAGGGACACTGAAAGAGCCTCTCATCAAGGGTTTAGTCTCCCGCTGTGTGGAAAGAGCTACTAGATGACACTAAATGACCTGCTGGAGGCACTAGTGGTTGGCAAACAGAGTCACTTCTTCAGTCTTGTGCCAACTGATCTACAAATATCTACTTCCACCTTGCCATACCCTAATTTATCTTTAGCGTGATGAGACTTAAGTTTCTTTTATTGCTGCGGGGGGCGTACACCACAAGCTCCAGCTGTAGGAGGCCTAAGGAGTAGAAGGGCAGGACAGATGAATGGTGCTGGTCTTTTGGGGCCAACAGGCGACTGGAACTTTTTAGTGGAGAAACAGGCTGCAGGTGGATTTGGGGGGGGGGGTGTTGGTGGTCCCTGTATGTGTCTGTGCACTGTTTATGGGTCACATCGGGTACATCTCTTTAAAAACCAAAAACATCTTTTTCTTTATCGTCAAGGTTTTCGCAAAAACTAGAAACTACAAAAAAAAAGTCTGTTTCAGCTGTGTACTCGGAGGCTGAGGTGCCTGTGATCTGTTTTTTTCTGCAAGCTGCCGCCTTCTCACCCCGTCTGGGCTCATTCTCTGGGTCACATTTGGGGAAGCTGTATCCAGATGGTTCATTTTGAACCTCCAACCTGAAGGCCGCGCCAGCCAATATATATAGATATATATATTTATATATATCTATATATATATCTATATATATCTATATATATCACAGGTCATTTCTGCACATCTGGCTTTGGGGTCAGGGTCCACGCAGGGGCCCAGTGTATCAGCAGAAATAGGGACACACCTCATGTTTGGTACCAAGTCTTAAAACTTTCGGGATTTGCCCTCTTCCAGAGTCTCTTTAGACTCGCATCATTCAACAAAACAATCACTATTGCCTGTGTTGTCTGTTTGCGTGTTTTTGTTTGTTCCTGAAAACCTGCATTTACTCCACACTGGACTTGAATCAAGGAACTGGCGTCGAAAGCGGGGAGTCGAATAGAGTGGGAGGATGGGTGACTGGGACGGAAGTCGAGTCTCAGATGTGCCCTGGATTTCTTGGCGCAGCACCAGCACTGAGAGCCCCAGCCCCTCCCACACCACCCCTCGCCTGCACTCTTATCTACCTGTCTAGTGTTGGAAATCAGATGCTCTCCCTCTTTTTATCGAAGTCACACAGACTCAAAGGCAACTGATGCTCGAGCAAAATATGCTTCTCAATCATGGATCAGACAAGGGTGTGGGGCAGGGGCCCCCAAAAAGAGTTGAATTAGCAAATCTCTCTTTAAAAAACAAAAAAAAAAAAACAAAGGCCTGGGTTGAATATGCACATGCTAGTTTATATACAGTATACAACCAAGAGTACATAATGGGTGTATGTGTGTATATGGCTAGATTTCTCTGTTTTCCACTTAGCCTAAGCCCCCTCCCCTCCCCTGCCCTACCTTCAGCCCTATCCTGTGTATCCTCCTCAACATTATATTTCCCAGAAGACAAGATCATAAACATATCAGAGTAATACAAAATAATGAAAAACAAATACTTGAATCAAAAGAAGCGCCAATAATGTAATGTGAACACTTTTTGTAGTGGTTTTTTGTCTCATTCATACACTTCAGAGATTTTTGATAGCATCGGTTCAGAGTGAATTAAATTTGAAATACGAGTGTTGTTGAAAACAAAGATCGATATAAAGGCAAAATTTACGTCTGTTGTATTTGAGTGTTTGCACAAGGCTGCTTGTACTGTATGTTGTATGAATGACTGTGTAGTGCGTGAGATGACAATATGTATGAGCGCTCGTGATTACAGCGGAGGAATTTCCGCCTTGTGATTCTTTTCAATTCAGTATACTTTGGTTGTTGATTTGTTTTTGTTTTTTTCTTTTTGCTTGTCAAAAATATATTCTGATGTTAATTGTTACTAGCCTCTAGCGTTGCACTGAGTGTCGGCCTCACCCCTCATCCAGCTAAACGAACAACATGATACAAGTACTGAGGGGAGACGGGGACAGTTCATGTGTAAATGTTTACTCAAGGACTAAAATAAGTGTGTTTTTAAAAATGTAATGTTTATCTACCTTAGTGGCTTTCATTGTGGAATAATCCAAGAAAGTATGGATCATAATTGAGTATTGCACCATTTTTCAGACTGTAAACCTAAAAAAAAAAAAAAAAAAACCTGAAAAAAAAATCACATATGTATAAAAAAAAAAAAGCAGCAAAAAAGTATTTTGCAGACCTGTGGCCATAGATTGGGGTAGAAGGACTTCAGCTCTCCCAAATCTGAGCAACGGAGAGAGTGAAGGATGAGACATCAGACTGAGCCTTGGCTTTTAGGGCTCACTTCAGAGGTGCCTACCTTTTTGGTTTGTTAGCTTTCGTTCTGTTTTCACTTTTTTGTTCAGTTTCACTCATGTCGTCATTTGTTTTCCTGCAAGGCCACTGACAGTTTACAAACGCTTTGGTTTTTTGTCTGGAGTTCAGAAAAAAAAAGAATCAGCAGCAACAACAACAACAACAAAAAATAAATTAAAACCACGGGAATGTTGGAAAAAGAAAAAAACGGACAAATGCTTCCATTTTTTTTTTTTTTTTTTAAAGTGCAACACTTCACAGAATGAAGATTTATAGTGCTACTTTCAGAACTCTGGGATTGAACAGTGTTGTCTTGTTCTGTTTAACCTTCTTTGTTCTGTGTTAATGTTGATTTTCATGGACTATCTGAAGCCTGTATGTTTTATGTTGATTATATATATTTTTCCTTTATATAAAAAAAAAAAACAAGAAAAGAAAAGTAAAAAAAAAAAAAAAAAAAGACATAATTGCTCACTATCTTGCACACACACGAAAAAGTGGATCTTGTCTCAGGAAGGCCAGGGTTCCAGAGTACCAACTCCACGCCATTTTAATGTACATTTTTATGATGAGTTACAAAAAAAAAATGGATGATTTAAAAGAAACATTTCTAAGCACTGAAAGTTATGGATTTCAGAAGAAGAGAAAATACCTTTGTTTCTAAATCCGTAGCAGTTACATAATAACCAAATAATGGACTTTAAATGAAAAATGGAGTGCTTTATATATAAATCTATATATTAAAATTGCTTTACATTTAAAAACAAAAAAATGGTCAATGATTTTGATTGTTAAAAAAAAAAGAAGAAAGAAAGACAGACCGTGAATAACATGCAAAATGCTGTATGTTTGAATCTTTATTGTGTTTTCTTAATGAGGTCCCGTCCTGACTGAATCAGGAACATTGTGCATTACTCTTTCTTTCCTCTTTCTCTCTCTCTCTGTCTCTCTCTCTTTCATTCTCCCACAGCGGGTATTATTAATAGATAAATCAGACTTTTGTGGAACATTTTTCACATTTTGGAGGATGTTTGTAAAACATGAGCTGGTTGTAAAGGATCATGAAACTATGCACAAGTGTTTGGGGGGGTGGGTGGGTGGAAGATGGGGATTTTATGGCCTACTTCTATGTGGCTGATCTATTGCAGGGGTTTTTGGGATCCAATGTGTTGTTAATTTTTGTTTTTTTATTTTTTATTTTTTTAAGGGGGTGGAGGGGGGGTGGAGAGGTGATTCATGTCTATCGCCCCCTGCCTCCAGCTTCCTTCCCCTGATTCAGATTGACCTAGCGCTACATCGCCATGCTGTGTATTCCTAAAACCAATGAGCGTCTCACTCTTTAGCACTGTGGGATTCTAGCCTGTCACCCTCAAGGGTTTTTCTTCTCAGTTGTTGTTAAGGTTTTCTTGGAGGGTGGGGGATATGGGATATGGGGTGCTTTTTTCTTTTTTTTGGCCTTTTTTTTTTTTCTTTTGAAATATTAAGTAAAAATGTCTGTACTGAGATTTAATGAAAAGTCAGTGGCTTGTAATGTTTTATTTTTTTCTCTCTGTATATCTCTTTCTCCTCATAGAATGTGATTGTTAAATGACATGCACCGAAACAAATGTTTTCATGAACTATGGAGCTTCTTTCAAATATTAATAAAATAGCTTTTTTTCTTGGCTGTTAACAATGTGCCATTTGGTTATTTGCCGTTTGTCTCTCTGCCTTCGTTCCACCGTACCGAGAAGAGGTGATTAATAACCTCTCACTCTCATCTTCTGCTGTATGAGTTGGTGTCATTTCCTGTTTGCTGCACTATTAACTCATTGCCAGAAGTCACGTCATGCTCTGAGAGCAAGCTGTCTGGGACAGGCGTAATAGTTGTCCTGTGGTTGTCGGATGTTGGGGTTAGCATACACAGGGAAGTTGACTTCCTCCAGGTGTGCGGGGGGGTCCTCGTGGTTATTTTGGGGGATGCCGGGGCTCTGCTGCTTCCTGGTCATTTCCTCATAGATAGGTGCAGAAGGATGTGGTCTGTGTTGACTCCTTGTCTTCACCTACAACACACCATAGCATTATGTCTTACTTGTTCAGAAATCAATCTGTGTTCAGTATAAAAAAAAATACCAACAAGCTTCTGCATTTAATATGTATGTCTGTTTATGCTCAAGGCTTCAGTCTCCGGTATGTACGGTATTTGTTAATTTTGTTGCCTTTATTGTGAAAAATGAATCCAAGGTGACCTCTTAAAAAATCTTGTTTTGTCCGACAAACTCTCCAAAACCAAAAGATAATCAGTTTACAATCATTAAAAAGTAAGATGACCATCAAGTGTTTATATGTGTGAAGCTGAAAGTGGAGGATGTTTGCTTCAGAAATTATTCATCTGTTATTAAAACTGTTGAAGATAAACTTTCTGTCAATGTTTGTGCATGTTTAATAGTGTAATACCACCTGAGATTTTATTCCTGCAGAACAGCAGCTTTGTCTTTTCAGAGAAAAAAGGCACAAATGCATAAAACTATACAACCTCTCTTGTACCCGCTGTGTTCCTGACCTCTTCTTAGTAACAGTAGATATGAAAGTAAGATGTACAACACCCAACAGCAAAGTAACAGCTTGTTTAAGACTGCAGGATGTTTTGATTGACCTTGCTCCTGAGGCTGAAGTGATCACTTGTGACTACTTATATTCTTTATGCTTATTAACTTTCTGGATATTTCATATCAGCTTAAAGAATTCCTTTTACACTTTAAATAATGTCAGATTTTGTGACTCATGCATTCACAGCAGTAATTATCAGTCTTTCGTTGCCTTGAAAACTCTCTCACTAAAACAGACTTTAGAGCAGTTTGTCAGGCCTCTATTAAAGCTGACACATTAATTGATCGTATTCAACTTGTATAGCTGCCTTTGTCATTTTGATTTACAGCCGTTGTTGCCTGAAAAGCTGCATCAGTCAGAAATACTGCAAAATTAAAGAAGACAGGAGAACTGTGACACAAAGGCAAACAACTGCTGCAAAAACACTAAACAACATCGCAAACCTCAGAATTGATTCATGGAGTAAAATCTGCATCTCTGCTGAGTGAAATATGTTGACATGTAAATACTCACACATTTCTCTATGGCCACCCAGCTGAGAATGAGTAGAAGAAGCCCTGCTGCTGTAAAGATGGTCAAGAGTAGAGGAGGGTAACTGCACGGACATGACCTCCCTGCACCACAAACACACAAATACACATTACAATCTGAGCAACAGTTTAGGTTTAACTGTGTAAGAACTGTATTGTGAGGTGCTCGAACCACATACCTGTCCCTTGAACCAACAAGAAGACCTTTTGTTCGCTGAGTTTGATCTGGTCTAAGCTTCTCTCCTCTCCGTAGCTCAGCTCCCAAATGTAGAGTCCTGTGTCACTGGGCTGTAAATGGGATATTGTCACATTGACTCGCAGGGAGTCCAGTCCTCCACGGAGCTGCAAACGCCCCCTGTGGTCCGGACTGACCCTGAACTCGCTGCCCTTAGCCATCGACAGAAGGGTTGTTTGGCTCTGGGCGCTGCGGTGGTAAAGGTGGAGGCCCGTCGGGCTGCCGTGGTCCTGATGAGGGGAACAGGAGAGCTCCAGTGATTGGCTCTCTGTCAGCTCCCTTAACATCAACTCTGCATAGCCTGGAGAAAAAATTAGTTTCAACTTGTAGTAAATAATAATGGTTATTGTCATGTGGCATAGCTCTATGTTTTCAGTCCCCCACGTTGATCCAGACTGAAATATCTCTACAAATCGATGGATTGTCATTCAGTCTGTGATACCCAGAGGATGAATCCTACTGACTTTGGGGATTCCCTGACTTTTCCTCAACTATTGGATTGATTACCACGAATTTTGTGTATTTCATGGTGCCAAGGGGAAGAATCCTAATGACTTCTTATGAAGTTTGTGGTTTTGAGTGATATGTCTCAACAACTATTTGATAGTTTGTCATGGAATTTGATACATATGTTTATATATGTCACATGTGTTTCCCCCCAGGATGAATTGTAATAAATTTGGTGATCACAAGTATTGTCAATGGGGGACTGGAGGTGATTCCAGTTGACATTGTGTGAAAGGTACATTGCGAACAGACCATCAACATACAGTAGATTAAGATGAACGACAGGACAGTTCCCCAAAAGGGGAGCCAAGCGTCCCCCGTGCAAGATGGCAGCAGCCTTATTCGGTACACTGGGAGAAAGAGGAGACGCGATGTATGTTGTTGGACAGACCCAGCCAATCACAGGGCTGGCAGATAGAGACAACAATTAGACAACAATAGAGTCGCCTAACCTGCATGTCTGTGGTCTGTGGGAGGAAACCCACACAAACATGGGGAGGACGTATAAGCTCAACACAGAAAGGCCAGAGTCGGCCGGTCGGTTCAACTAACACTGAAAGTCATAAAAACTAAACATTTTTAGACAATAAAAACTAAATTAAAACAAGCAAACGTACTCTGGAAACTAACTAAAACTAAACTGAATTTTAAAAAAATTTAATCTGAAATATAAATTAAAACCAATGAAAAATACAAAACTAAAATACAATATAATAGCCACTGCAGGTGGGGTGTGGATGACGCGTTGATTGTGCAGCGGAGTGGAATAAATATAAATCATTTAGGGGAAATACAGTTTATAGTGCTGACCTTTAGTTCACTAAAAGTTCCCTTGGATCCTTTTTCATTAGTTTTGGTTCCCCTATCATTGTTAAGGTTCGCTATAAACTGTGTGGAGTGGGGGGTTTTAAGTTTTTAACCACTGACCTCAGTACAGTCTAACAGGGCCAGCAGGCCTGCAACCAAAGCCAGACAGCGGGGGCTGTTATATCTCCCAGTAAATAAACACAAATAAAGACTGTTTACACGTTAAAACTAGAGGAAAAAAAGTCAATGTCAGAAAAAATAAGTTTTAAAAATTCCGAAATGTTTTGACTCTCATAAGCATAAATTAATCAGTTTGCCTAGTTTTTGTAAAATGTGAATTTTCTCTTACCTTCAAAGATCTGAATGAAAATCAGAACGCATGCCATTCGTGTCTTCATGGTCTTTTCAGTTATAAAAGCTCAAAGATATACCAAAGCAAAGTCATAGTGTACTCCTCCTTCCTTCAGCCTCTTGTGAGCCTTTCCGGACAGCCTCACTGCATTTATTGTTCTTCAACCCAAAGCAGGAAGAAGACTTCAAAGCAAGAACTGCCGTTAAAGTGCTGTGGTTGGTCTCATACCCACAGAAATCGTCAGACTTAAACTCCTCAGGATCCACACCCTTTATGTATAAAATGAAACAAAACTGTAATATTAAACTAAATATTAAATTTGTAAGACATATAAGCATTGTTCCACCACTACAGTTCTTTAATCTAACTTTGAATTCAGGGCTTTGTTACAGTCTGATAGTGTGTAAAAGATATGAGGTATATCTATTCTTGCTGCTTTCAACAACCAGGTTATGATATTATACAAAAGGAGGATATAAGAATATCACTTTAACTTTGTGTCACCCGGTATGTCTGGTGCTCACAAGATCAGTCTGAAGGTGCAGTTCGCAGACAAGTCATCGCTTGCAGAGAGACTCTTATTGATTGCTGATATCAGTGGTTTTACATAAACCACAACACTAAGATGGAGAACATGCACATCTGTAGATAAATGCACTGACTGACTGTTCAGTACAGCCCTGCAGTAAATAGTGCAAGTACAAGTCTATATAATAAATAACTGCATCTTTTCAAAGCTTATAATGTTAAATGTTCTATTTTTATTGTTTTTAAGACACAGAAAACAGAGCTCTTGATGAGTAAGACAACACAAAATATGAATTTGGTGCAGCCAATATATGTGACACAGTACAATTATATATGTTTAACCCAATGAGAAAATTGAAGAAATAAAGAATACATTGAAGAAGAAGTAAACAGATAAACAGTGGTAAAGATGATAATACCGAGAAGTGTTTTTTAATATTTGTTCCGGGTGAAGTCCAACATAACACTACCGCTATCAGAGTCATATTTTTTATGTTACGTGTTTACTTTTTCAACTGCAAGTCAAACAATTTTAGACGTGAACGTTAACTGTAATTTATACAATCGTATAAATACTGACGGAGCTTTTTATTGTTCACAGAAACAGAACATAATTCTCTACACATAAAACAAGGATACCAGAGTATTTCTTTTCAAATAAATATGAATTAATAAGTTAATATAAATATATATTTCAAAAACTTTTATTCAAGATGAACTGGAACTTGTAAAGAACTGAAAAGCAAATGACTGCTGGGTATTTTGGTCTATTAGACAAGAGCAGAGGCCTGGAAAATAGGTGTTAAAAAAAGTTCCTTTTCATTTTTAAGCTTAAAGGCAGCAGGATGAACACCTACAATGGTCAGTGTGCAAGCTGCCATGACAGTAAACCTTTACTAAATACCAACTACTGTGCTTTTATAAGGTCAGTTTGGATCTCTTTTCATTTCTGTATTGATTTCCTTATGTATTTTTGATATTGTGATGCACTGTAGCACTATGATATGTCTGTATAATATGTGTGAATCTTTAAACAGTTATATCTGCTGTCATATTAATCAGATGTGTGAGTTAGGTCTCAGCAGCTGTGAGCTGATTAGCAGATGATCAGACTCAGGTGTGCAGTGTTGCTCTGATGAGGCTGATTGTCTGCAGAGACTTTAAAATGCTCCACTGCTCAGACTGGGTTGTTGCCTGGTGGGTTGGATAAGAGCCTTTTGCACTTTGGACCAGGTTGCTGTTTTCAGTTACATTAATGGAGCCCCTTTGTGTTAACCTCCTCGTTGGACTCTTGTTGTCAGGACTCTGCGTTAGATCGTCTTTTGCTTTTCCACCTGAGCATTACAGACAACAGTTTCAAAGGCCTCAGGTCAGCAAACACACTGCGCCTGAGCAGCCAAAGGGTCCAGCTGAAGAACGAGAGCTGTTGAATACTGTCCGACTGACCTGCTATCCAGACTCACTGGAGATAGTTATTGAAGCTGATATGTTTGGAGTTGGAGCTCCTGTTGATAGTGCTGACTTGCGCCTTGGAGTGGAGCACAATGATTTCTGTAGAGCGACCGTGTCTTCAGAAGATGAGTACAGAATAATTGTTGGACTAATGGACTGTGGCACCAAACACTGGGTAATGGTACATTTTATTGTAATCCGAATATGTGACATCCATTATTACCACTAGTTCTAAACATATCTACTCTCATAGATGACTGAAGACTCTCTGGTCTACACAAACCTCCTCCTATACTCTCCTGAAGTCTCTCCAAGTGGGGTGATTCGAATGGATGAGGCTGTCATTCCCATTGAATGTCATTATGAAAGGTGTCTGTATTATTATTATTATTATTATTAATTATTATTTTTTTTTTTTTTTTTTTTTTTTAACCATCTTTAAAGATTTCTTCACAATAGCTCACTTTTTTTTTTATATCAAATGCTTGTTTTCTGTTTCTTAGGAAGTATAGCTTGTCCAGTTCTTCACTCATGCCCACCTGGATCCCCTTCATGTCTACACAAGCTGCAGTGGAAACCTTGGACTTTAACTTGAGAATTATGACAAGTGAGTTTCATTAAGTTCTCACTGACTGTCTTTAGCTGTGCTTGCTACTTTTTGTTTTTTGTGCAGATGATTGGCTTTATGAAAGGAGCTCTAACGTGTTTTACCTCGGTGAGCCAATCCGCATTGAAGCCTCCGTCAGGGTTGGACATCACATGGGGCTCAGAGTGTTTGTGAGCAGCTGTGTTGCCACACTCCACCCAGACATATACTCCATTCCCAGATACGTCTTTGTTGAAAATGGGTAAGTATTTGAAATGCTTGAAGGCTGCAACTTGATGTTAAATTAAGGGAGAAACTACCAATTTTACCAGTAAAGCTTCTTTACAGGTCACACAGCCTCTGGAGCTTAGGGCCAAATGTTTGAAGGGGTCAAGATTGGCTGTTTCTAAACAGTCGTTCTTAATGCCCGTCTCTGGTCAGATTCCTCTTGAAATCAATGAAACTAGCAGTAGGCTGCTTTTGTCCACAGGTGCTACCAGAATCAATGCAAAAGTTTCTTGTAGAGGCTTTAAATTTAGAGGCATGGTGTAAATCCTTTATGCCTCTTTAAGGCTGGCTATTGAGTCCTTACATTAACATTTAGGAGTGTTTGGACAACACTGCAATTGTCAGCTCTTCTCCATATGAACTACCGAGCCAGTTAATGACTGTTCAAATTAATATTTAAAGGTAGCTTAACCACCCAAACCACGTGCATATAAGAACAAATAGTGAGTCTCTTGACAAAGGCTAGCCATAACTAGCTGGAGGGTTGTCGCTGCAGTGGAGTTTAGTACATTTTTGACCAAATGTATAGCATTTTGGCTTTGAAGGGTTTGCAGTCAAGTTGCATTGTGGCTAACACAGGCACCAGTTTTGGCAAAGAATTTGTATAGGAAAATGGACAATATATCTGCCCTGCTGCTTCACTTTTGACTATTCTTGTAACTATCAATCATGGGTACAATAATATGAAGAAACACTCTTAAAGGCCTGTGTACAGTAGTTTTGACTTTATTAATCCCTTCATAGGTGCTTGGTTGACTCTGAGCTTCCAGGTTCAAAGTCGTCCTTCTTACCCAGGACACAAGATGATAAGCTCCAGTTGGTCATTGATGCCTTCAGGTTTCATAATGAGGACAGAGGAGAGGTGAGGCCGTACTATACATTTAGGGGGAGCACATGTGCCCCCCCCCACCCAACACTTATCTTTTATCTTTTTACAGCTCTACATCACCTGTTACCTGAATGCAGTACCAGTAAACGATGCAGAGGCTCCAGCTCAGGCGTGCACTCTTGTAAATGGAAGGCAAGTGCTATAAAGTCAGAAATGCTCAATCTGTAAACAGGGAAATATGTGTGCTGACAAAAGACCATCTTTCTCAGATGGAGATCCGCTGATGGTAATGACTACTTATGTGGGCATTGTCAAAGCAAAAATGAAGTCGGCCAAAGCAAGCCCAGCAGCCCTGCCAAGCTTGGTCCTCGTGGGTTTGGGAAGGAACCTGAATCCTTCTGGAGGAGCGGACTGAAGACCAATAAAGGTAGGATTTTTTTCTTTTTGTATAGAAACAAAATGGAAATCCATTACTGGCTGGGACTGCATGTGCCTCCTCCAGAGGGACATCGCCTGCAACCAAGACCAGACAATATTGATGAGTAGTTCATGTTTTTCACCATTAGATGTCAGGCTTCACACTTACACTTTAAAATGTTATCATGCTTGTCTACTTAGTGTGGGAACAGGAGGCAAAAGTGGGTCCAATGCTCGTCCTACCTGCCATGCAGAAAAGTGGGCCTATACCTGTGGATGAGCTTCCTCCTCTTCTCGGTAAAATTAGCAGACCTGCTCTGTACGGCAGCCAGTGGAGAAGTGGAATAAATGACAGAGCTGGTAAGAGTTCAACTTTAAATTGTGAATCGGACAATTATCTTTGCTAATTTAGACCCCTTTTTGACAAATTCTCTATTCAGGTTAGTTAGTAAAATGTCTCAGCAAAGAAGGCTTTGGTTAAATTGTATTTTTATCCTAGACCTGGCAAAGGGAGTTATATCTACACCAGAGCAGGGGGCGGTTCAGACTACTGCTTCTGAACAGGATGAGGACCTCAAAGGTGTAACAGATCTAACCGGTAACATGTGAAGACTTTCTAAAATGTTACTTGACATGTGTGGGTTTTGTTCTTTACAAACATCTTTCTCTAATTACAGACAAAGATGCAGACAGTAAAGTTGAGGCACCTCTAGAAAAGGCAGCTCCTGTGGTTACGTTAAAATCAAAGACTGAAATGGCAGAAAATAACAGCACAGCAGCCCTCGGTGACATCAGCTCCACTGATCAGGTCACGATGGATGTGACATTACTGTCAAATGTAACTGCTACAGACTCTGACCTCTCACAATCAAATGACCCAAAGAGATAATAAATAATTAAAACCGTTTGTTTGCTCTTTGTTTTGACTGCACATGATGCAACTGTCTTTAATGGCTGTATGTACAGAAGTCTCAATATAAACCAGCTGATCCTCTGGCAGGTGAAGTTGCAGTAGGAAGGGGAACAAATGATTTATAATCTTATTTAGATGGTGCTGTTAATGCACTAGATAAAATGTGTTTATTTTTACCAACTCCTGAAACTATGACGTCAAGTATTTAGGTGTTGCAAGAATAACAAGTCAAGAACTTTATTTACACACACTTTATACAAAGGCTGAATCCAAAATGGTGAGCCCTCTGTAAAAGCAGAGGGATATGGCACCACCTTGCTGAATGTTTACAGTGAATGCAGATAAATTATAGTATTTATAAACTATAAAGTGCATTATAAGTCCCAAATGTTCCAGGGGAGGTGTTGACTTTTGTCCAGGGTTTTCCTCCTCTAGAGTTCAGTGATTATTTGTTAGTCTTCTGTGTATAATTGGATGGCATTTTTTCTTTTCCACAGTTTAAAACATACAATGTTTATAAGTTATAATAGTTCAATGTGATCAGATGGTTTATTGTTTGTCAATGATTCCAAACATCACGACAATGACTTCCAACAGGGATCATAGTTTAGGCCAAACTCCTTCAATCCGTCCCAGACTTGCCGAACTCTGTAACAGTCCATTAAGAGATGCTGTTGTCTTATCATTGGACATTTTGTTACATGACTCCAACACACAACAGCTCTAACAGGAAGTCTTCCCACAGACATCAGCCACCAAACATCCCGAATGCTCACTGACAGGTTCTTACTTTTTAAAATATTTATCACCTCAGTGCTTTCATTAGGACTTAAGTTTTTATATGTAATGAATCCTCCGTATTTAAAATCATTAAAAAGAAATTATGAATCCTTTTGTTGGGTAGAACTTCTCTCCCTCTTTTTCTCCACATTGAAAGGTCTAATTTCAGTTTGTTTTCACAGTTTCTGTCACTACATTCACTGTTGCAGATTTTCAGACCGAGTATTTTACTTGGAAACTTTTTATCCCAACACTGTCCTGTAATACCTCTAAACCTGAAATGTTGTGGGTTTCTTGCTGCCATGTACCAACACTGTCTTTAAAGCAAAATGCAAAAAAACTTTAGAAAAATGAAAATATGTGAATGATTAATAAAATATTTATTTACCAAAAACACCCATTGTGACTTATATGTCACATCACAGATCTTTGACATTTAAAAAAAAAAAACAATCAGAAATGTGTTCTCTGAGTACACTTCTGTGGTATATCCCCCATAATGTTCCTTCAAGGAGAAATGGGTCTGGGTTCTTATGGCTTTAAACAAAATGAACAAAAACTTTAATATAACAAAATTAAACTATGTGAATGAGTGAAGCAGCAGCAGCAGCAGCATCCTCTGCTGTTTGTAAAGAGAAGTGTAAAAGCTTACAGCACCTGGTATTCCCAGGCGGTCTCCCATCCAAGTACTAAACAGGCCCGACCCTGCTTAGCTTCCGAGATCGGACGAGATCGGGCGTGTTCAGGGTGGTATGG